GACTTTGTACACAATCGTGGAGTGGCGTCAGGTTGCAACATTTTTCCGAATTCCCAGGCTGCATTCGAATCAATTATGTCTAGAGCACGTCCAATCCCAGTGAAAATACGCGGGGACGCGCTGACAATATTTCGGAGCCGTATCTCCGTGCATGCTCCGTGGAAGCCCGTTTCGGACACGGCCTGAGGCGCCCGCCGGACGTTGCATGGCCTTATGGGATACTTATCCAAGTAACCGGCTCGGCGAGTCGGTCACTTGGGCCAGGCTCGTACCAGCGCGAGAAGTCACGTGAGAGGTACTGAATCGAACGCTGTCGCGCTTGCACGAGTAAGCGCGGGGGAAGTAATCGAACGCACTGAAAGTAGTTATGTTCCTATAGATGACGGTTTGGGCGGAAGCAGAGTAGAAGAACAAGCTGGGGAAATGAGCAAATTTGTTAAAAGTTCATTGCAGGAGTTAGGATTCCTGATTGCAGAGGAGAGATGCGATTGGAAACCAGCACAGAAAGCTGTTTGGCTAGGTTTTGTTTGGGACTGATGGCACACAGGCATTTCGCGAGCAACGCCAAACATTATGTTTCCCTTTGTGCGGGAGCCTTGGCTGAATGCACTCAGGTAGCAGCTACATGGAAGGTGGAAACTATAGGCAAAGCTCCACATGGAGAGAGTCTCAGGCTGTAGAGAAAGTGCTGATGAGTAAAGTTCACATTTTAAGCAAAAAGAAAGTGAAAATGATTCATAGATGTCAAAAATGTCAAGAAGGTTTTTAAGGCAGGAAGTAAAAATGAAGCACAAGCTCTTAATGTTAACACATTCTGTGAAGATGAAGTATTAGTTTTAGAACCTTAAAGAGAAAATATAATACAGAAGCAGATACGCTAAGTAGGACGGCTGACAGCGATGACTGGAGGGTGCGGCATCCGAATCAATTATGTCTAGAGCAAATTTGAACGCTCATTGTAAGATATTTAATTCCAGATGGTGGTGCCCTGGCATTGAAGGGGTCATTGCATTGGACCAAAGTTCGAAGAACGAAAATGATTGGTTGGTATCACCGCCAAGGCTTATACTTAAGGCGTTGACAAAGATGCGGGGAGAAAAAGTAGAACGTGGAGCATTTCAACGTTTTGCTACAGACACGCACATCTTACCACAAGCAAACGTTACAAGTAGAGGAAGAGGAAACAATGGCACTTTCGCCGAACATCCACTGAAGTTAAGATTGATCACACTGAAACTAAGGTTTTCAGTCAATGAATTAAGATATGCAAATGTGCCTCAATAATTATAACGAGAGTTTATTTGCTTGGCATGTATCGGGCTGAGAAGGAATGTAAAGGCGACATTACAAAAGGCAGGCGCCAAGGATGTTAAAATCGCCGAGATGTGCATGCAAATAATATATGATTTCGTCCAAGAGCGACAGTCAGCAAATACTTCAATAGTTCAAATTTAGGTTTGGACTATAAGACTACGTCAGTATTACAGATCAGTGGTCGGGTCAGGTTGGGTCCGGTTAAGTTGGGTTGTGTCAATGGAGATCAGTGGTCGCGACGCGAAGGATAAAGTCGGGTTGGGTCCAGGTGGGTCAGGGCAGGTCGGGTCGGAAAGCCCCGAATTTTTATACCAAGAACTGTACACAAAAAAGTCAAATACCAAACTCATTGGTAAGAGTACATCTGCTTTTTATTGCCAAGGTGTTCAACTTTGCACAAGTAGAATGAAATCATATCAAACACGTACGGTACAAACCAAAACAGCATAAGACCGATAATCATTTTAATAATTTTGTTTGTAGACTCTTACTTTTCTTTCTACAGCAACAAAGCCACTTTTGCAAGGACAATGGCTTAACCGTACGTACACGTTAATTAAGTATATTTACATCAATTTCTTTATTTAACGGGACATGTATTGAACATTAAGTTTTTGTATCAACGATGAACAAAAATCTGTCACGTATAGGACCGATCTTTGCGAGTTGACTATCAAGGTTCTGAAAAAGGGGAACTCTTACTCGATGTGAATCGAAATTGCTTGGAACATTCAATTAATGTTACACGTAAATCGCATGCCTCCCCAATTAAGGAAACGAAATCACCTATTAAAGCAAACGACAAGTCACATTTGTTTACAAAATTGGAGGCTGTGGACACGTGTTGCCAACTTTGAGCAAACAGTTCTCTTCTACACTACCGGTACATGTTTATCTCTTGAAATACAAGTGATTTAAAAGTGTTGGCATAAACTGTTTCCTTCAGTCTACTAATAGGGGTAGACGAAAAGGTAGAGAAGAACAATGCACGGAATAAATTATTCAAAATAACGAAAGCAGCGCAACTTGGGTCTACTGTGCATGGATGTGCTGGAGCTAGCCACTCAATGTGTATTTTAAGATGCGTTCCCCGTGCTATTTTCGAATTTGATATCGATGTTTTTTTTTCAATTGCTATTTTCCTAGAAATATAAAAGTTATTCACTGTGGCATGAGACATCGAACGAAAAAAATCCACCGCCGTTTAGTTATTCAATTATTTCTCCACAAAATTCGAATTATTGGCTGCCAGACAATAAGTCAACTCAGCGGGTCGGGTTCATTAATTGTGCGCAAAATGAAAGCCTTTTTTCAAAGGTTTGTAAAAACCCCAAATCGGAATAAGGTAGTTTTTCCGTAAAAAAAGACATACAACGGATGGGGAGCACATGCCTTGTGCTAGGCAAGGAGTTACTCCGCTTAATATTGCTTGCAGCTTTTTCCCCCCGGAAATAATTGGCAACGAACCAACTCTTACTGCGGATGCGGAGGCCATCACTTTTTTTCCTCACTTTTTGGGGCGCAGGGAGAGTCGGCAAAGTAAAATCCCAATTTCTACACGCCGAAAATAACGTTAATTTTTCTTTCTCCGAATAAAACCACATGCTCCTTACAAAACGCCTAATGGCAGTTAGATTGCAAGCCTGAAGAAACATAATGTTTCGGCAATGAAATCCAAGGGGAAAGCCCACGGAATAAGACAGGGACCGATCAACGTATGTTGGCCTGGTTGGGACTGCAGCCCGGGTCACATAGATGAAATGTGAAGAGACAACTTATCCAAACAACTCTCTTGAACATAAATGTTTCATGCCAAAATGAGGATATAATTGTTTGTATGTCAGTGCAGATATGTTTGTTTTATTTTGGGGTCTTGAAAAATACTACCCAGTTGGGAATGGGTAATCGTACGGGCAGTGCCACAATTAAGTACAAATTTCCCTTTCCCCGGTACTGGACATTTTCATTTCAAGATTAAATTATATCAAGTCATGCAAATAAAAGCTACGATTAATAAAAAAACACCTTGTTGGTCGGTACGGTACGGTGAGCCTTTGAAAAGCAGTAACCTTGTTTGTTCCGGTGTTTGTTCCGGAACAAACAACAACTGACCGTCATACACCAACGGGCTGCAAAGTTACGCATGTCGATTTTGTGGAATGAATAGTTTGTAGTAATTTCTTCGTTTAAAAAAAAATAATAGGAATGCGTGCCAACGTATATGGAAGTTTGGCTAGTATACTCGTAAAATATTTAATTCCAGATGGTGGTGCCCTGGCACTGAAGGGGTCATTGCATTGGACCAAAGTTCGAAGAACGAAAATGATTGGTTGGTATCACCGCCAAGGCTTATACTTAAGGCGTTGACAAAGATGTGGGGAGAAAAAGTAGAACGTGGAGCATTTCAAAGTTTTGCTACAGACACGCACATCTTACCACAAGCAAACGTTACAAGTAGAGGAAGAGGAAACAATGGCACTTTCGCCGAACATCCACTGAAGTTAAGATTGATCACACTGAAACTAAGGTTTTCAGTCAATGAATTAAGATATGCAAATGTGCCTCAATTATAACTTGCTTGGCAAGTATCGGGCTGAGAAGGAATACAAAAGGCAGGCGCCAAGGATGTTAAAATCGCCGAGATGTGCATGCAAATAATATATGATTTCGTCCAAGAGCGACAGTCAGCAAATACTTCAATAGTTCAAATTTAGGTTTGGACTATAAGACTAAGTCAGTATCACAGATCAGTGGTCGGGTCAGGTTGGGTCCGGTTAAGTTGGGTTGTGTCAATGGAGATCGGTGGTCGCGATGCGAAGGATAAAGTCGGGTTGGGTCCAGGTGGGTCAGGGCAGGTCGGGTCGGAAAGCCCTGAATTTTCGCATGTCGATTTTGTGGAATGAATAGTTTGTAGCATTCTTCGTTTCAAAAAAATAATAGGAATGCGTGCCCACGTATATGGAAGTTTGGCTAGTATACTCGTAAGATATTTAATTCCAGATGGTGGTGCCCAGGCACTGAAGGGGTCATTGCATTGGACCAAAGTTCGAAGAACGGAAATGATTGGTTGGTATCACCGCCAAGGCTTATACTTAAAGGCGTTGACAAAGATGCGGGGAGAAAAAGTAGAACGTGGAGCATTTCAAAGTTTTGCTACAGACACGCACATCTTACCACAAGCAAACGTTACAAGTAGAGGAAGAGGAAACAATGGCACTTTCGCCGAACATCCACTGAAGTTAAGATTGATCACACTGAAACTAAGGTTTTCAGTCAATGAATTAAGATATGCAAATGTGCCTCAATTATAACGAGAGTTTATTTGCTTGGCAAGTATCGGGCTGAGAAGGAATGTAAAGGCGACATTACAAAAGGCAGGCGCCAAGGATGTTAAAGTCGCCGAGATGTGCATGCAAATAATATATGATTTCGTCCCAGAGCGACAGTCAGCAAATACTTCAATAGTTCAAATTTAGGTTTGGACTATAAGACTAAGTCAGTATCACAGATCAGTGGTCGGGTCAGTTGGGTCCGGTTAAGTTGGGTTGTGTCAATGGAGATCGGTGGTCGCGATGCGAAGGATAAAGTCGGGTTGGGTCCAGGTGGGTCAGGGCAGGTCGGGTCGGAAAGCCCCGAATTTTCATACCAGAACTGTACACAAAAAAGCCAAATACCAAACTCATTGGTAAGAGTACATCTGCTTTTTATTGCCAAGGTGTTCAACTTTGCACAAGTAGAATGAAATCATATCAAACACGTACGGTACAAACCAAAACAGCATAAGACCGCTATAATCATTTTAACAATTTTGTTTGTAAACTCTTACTTTTCTTTCTACAGCAACAAAGCCACTTTTGCAAGGACAATGGCTTAACCGTACGTACACGTTAATTAAGTCTATTTACATTAATTTCTTTATTTAACGGGACATGTATTGAAAAGTAAGTTTATCAACGATGAACAAAAAGTGAGGATGCAAGTCCCAAATTTACTAAAATATCTAAAAAATAAATATGTTACGTATAGGACCGAGCTTTGCGAGTTGACTATCGAGGTTCTGAAAAAGGGGAACTCTTACTCGATGTGAATCGAAATTGCTTGGAACATTCAATTAATGTTACACGTAAATCGCATGCCTCCCCAATTAAGGAAACGAAATCACCTATTAAAGCAAACGACAAGTCACATTTGTTTACAAAATTGGAGGCTGTGGACACGTGTTGCCAACTTTGAGCAAACAGTTCTCTTCTACACTACCGGTACATGTTTATCTCTTGAAATACAAGTGATTTAAAAGTGTTGGCATAAATTCGAATTCGAATTATTGGCTGCCAGACAATAAGTCAACTCAGCGGGTCGGGTTCATTTGTGCGCAAACTGATGAAAGCCTTTTTTCAAAGGTTTGTAGAAGCCCCAAATCGGAATAAGGTAGTTTTTCCGTAAAAAAGACATACAACGGATGGGGAGCACATGCCTTGTGCTAGGCAAGGAGTTACTCCGCTTAATATTGCTTGCAGCTTTTTTCCCCCCGGAAATAATTGGCAACGAACCAACTCTTACTGCGGATGCGGAGGCCATCACTTTTTTCTCTCACTTTTTGGGGCGCAGGGAGAGTCGGCAAAGTAAAAATCCCAATTTCTACACGCCGAAAATAACGTTAATTTTTCTTTCTTCGAATAAAACCACATGCTCCTTACAAAACGCCTAATGGCAGTTAGATTGCAAGCCTGAAGAAACATAATGTTTCGGCAATGAAATCCAAGGGGAAAGCCCACGGAATAAGACAGGGACCGATCAACGTATGTTGGCCTGGTTGGGACTGCAGCCCGGGTCACATAGATGAAATGTGAAGAGACAACTTATCCAAACAACTCTCTTGAACATAAATGTTTCATGCCAAAATGAGGAAATAATTGTTTGTATGTCAGTGCAGATATGTTTGTTTTATTTTGGGGTCTTGAAAAATACTACCCAGTTGGGAATGGGTATCGTACGGGCAGTGCCACAATTAAATACAAATTTCCCTTTCCCTGGTACTGGACATTTTCATTTCAAGATTCAATTATATCAAGTCATGCGCATAAAAGCTACGAATAATAAAAAAAAAATCTTGTCGGTCGGTACGGTACGGTACGGTACGGTACGGTGAGCCTTTGAAAGGCAGTAGCCTTGTTTGTTCCCGGAACAAACAACAATTCTGACCGTCATACACCAACGGGCTGCAAAGTTACGCATGTCGATTTTGTGGAATGAATAGTTTGTAGTATTCTTCGTTTCAAAAAAATAATAATAATGCGTGCCCACGTATATTAAAAAAGTTCCTTGAATAAATAAATTCGGTGCGATGAAAATAAATTCACCCTAGTTTACAAAAGAAATTTCAGGTGTAGCACAACGAACCAGAAAGTACTTGCCAAAACCAATTTAATTGGGCCAACTGCTCCCTCAGCCAACAACACAGAGAAATACGCACAAGGAAATTGGCCTATTAAATGTAACACGTTTCGTTACATGTATCTACACTCCTGTACATTCTTTTGTATCGGAAGATAACTCATATTGTAATTTTAAGATTCACGATAAACCTATACATACATGTATTTTCCAATGCTTTTGGAGATCTTCCTCTCCGCCTATAAAGCATCACTTTATTGTTTCCGGACGTGCTGACAATGTATGTACATAACATATAAAGGTCTCTGCACTCTTCATAATCACTTTATCCAGTTATTAATTTGTTCACAAAATCAATCAATATTTTCAGTTGGAGTACACAAATGCAGCTACAAATAGTTGTGCAAGTAGTCTTTGGAGAAGATAACTTCCTTTCAAGAAAACAAAATATTAGAAAGAAGGGGGGGGGGGGCGCAACAAGCAGAGTTTTACTTTTAGACCCCAAATGAACACGCAGGGTGATCGCATCCTGCATCCTTCCAATACAATTATGATGTTAAGCTCAATAATTATGAAAAGTCACTGTGGAGAAAAAAAAATCCAAACAAAGAAACACACAAAAACGAAAACCATGACGTTCCAAATTTATGCACATCGATGACCATGGTTCATGTAAGGTTTCATGTTCAACCCATACACCGTTTGGACGAAATTGGGCATGCTTGTTTGTCAGACTTCTGTTGGTGTTTTGAATTCACTTAACATTAGCCTTCCTGTTTCCCCAGAAGTAAAGGAGAGGCGATTTTACTCCTGGGAATCAACTACTGATAAACGTGTGGTTTTGAGTACGTTCACGAGTACTAAAAAGAAAGCACACGTCAATCGATACCTGCTAACGTCATCACAAGGTCACAGTACTTTGCACACCTTAGGATTATGGTTGATGTTCGTTCCAACTTTCCACTTAATGTACTCTACTGTTGAGAAGAAAAGTCACAGAGAATTGTTGTACATGTAATGAGGAAAAAAAAGTACATGTAACAAAGAAAGAAACCTTTGAACGATTTCAAAATTGTGATTAACCCAAAACCAGATGCTACATTTCTTGAGACTTTCTTTCTAAAACTCTGCTTGTTTTTAATATGCTTTGAGTAACATGCTATGCCAATTTTGAGCACTTGGACTTCTACATCCTCATGCATGAGGGACTAATAAAAATATATGCTATTTCAGGTGAGATATAGACAAGGTATGAATTAACACTGTTGCAGAAGCTGCTCAGGTCAAATCTCATGGCACAAAATCAACTAAAACATTCACCAAAACGATCACTGTACGCCGGGGGAAGTAAGTACACAGAAATATTGCTCAGTAAATTCTTTGTAATGATGGGAAATTAAATTGATGCCGAGAATCAGTCAAATAAACACCATGGTGCAAGAATGAAGGACTTATGGTATGCTATTCACTGAACAATTGTCCCCCATAAAATTCAGCCTGGATGAAAAGACAAGTACACTGGGATAATATTGAATAGATTATGCAGGATGTTACCAAGACATGAATTAAGTTGCCTGAAGATGTTTCACTTCCAAACAATTGCATTAAATCATTCTTTACTTAAGCTTCAACTAATTTAGACATAAGAACCAAGTCTATTCCCCCTCCCCCTCTTCCATTTCCACAAGACAATCCCTCATACCTCTGTACTGAATTCCTTCTTTATGGACAAACACTGTCAGCTCTAAGCATTACTACTTGGAGGGCACAAAACAACCACTTCACAATTTGTGGCTACCAGGAAACTTTGGTGATGCCGACAGAATACAGCTTTGCAGGTCCAGTGCAAAGATTCTTTACATTTGTCCAGGATGAAAGTCAACGGTAAGGCATCCAGGTAAATAGTAAGTATCTTATCAAAAGAAAAACGTGCTCAGAGCAGCATTTGCTTTCTGGTATGTAGGCTTCTGGTAAGATGCATAGTGGTCTAATACCTCTGTGACAAGTGTTTTTTTTTTGTTCTTGCAAACTGGTTAGCCTTGCCATCAGTAACGATGCTTCCTGCAAGTATCATTGATATATATGTATTAGCGACATGGCTTCTCTTGGCTTCCGCTTATCAACAATGACAAAGTTTGTTTTACCCCAAACAAAGAAATTTCTAGAAAACAGTCAGAAACAGTGCTACAGTTGGTTCAGTGACCAAACATCATATACTATGTAGCCTGTCTGGCCTCTTGAGCAACCCACTTCCTCCGCAGGGGTACTGGTCTTATTCTTGCTAGCAGCAAATCTCAAACTATGCTTCTGACCAAAGGACTTACCCACTTGTCAATCAATCAATCTCTTCTTTAACGTCAATCCTCATCTTTCCTGGCAACACTAATATGCATTGTTTTAATAAGGGACTTTGGTCATCTATATCTCAATGCCAAAGCTGCTTGATCACCAGCATAATATGCCTAATGACCTTACCACAAGAAACGTCCACAGAAATGACTCAAGTAAAGGATTCTTGAATACCCAAACCCTTCAGCTTAATCTATGCCCATTTGTTCAACATGTAAATGCTTTACTTTAGCTTTGATTAGTGTGACAGCAGATGAGTCAGTTGCCTTAACCCTAATAGTCTAGACGTTGTTGTTGTTTGTATGCGATAGCCTGCTGCGCCGCCGCGATAACCGGCCGCCACGCGAGGGCACTATCACGACCAACCAATATTGCCCACAAACCCGTCACAACAATGTCTAGATCACTTGCTATTGGTTGTGTAATGCGCCCGCACCTGTTTGGCCTAATATATGCAGTGTGCAATTTTAAAAATTCATAGTAGTTCCGAAGCAAACTCTCAAATTTCTTCCAGTAGGTTAGAAGCTGCAGCAAGACTTTTGTGCAATCTCACTGGTCAGTTCTTTTGTTGTGTGTAGTATGTGTGGGACTGAACATGGACTGTAATTGCCTGCAGAAGTCATGCATGCGCACTAATTTCCCCCATTTTTCAGGGGGAGATTTTAGCAAGTGATCTAGACGTTGTTCTGACGGGTTCGCGGGCGATATTGGTTTCTCGTGATAGCGCCCTCGCACGGCGGCCGGTTATCGCGGTGGCGCGGCGGGCTATCGCGTACAAACAATAACAACGTCTAGCCTCTAGACTATAACCCTAACCCCCTATAGTGATTTACTAGGGCTCTTCTTCACTCAGGCAAATTCCAACACCATGTGGTAAACTGTACACATAAACTGTTGGACTCTGATTATTGGTGGTATGCCAAACCCTATGTAGAGCATAATCAGTTTACTAGTGCAGTACTCACTAGATTCCAACAAACACTTGTGTTGGAGTTTGAGTGGATGGGGATTGTTAGGGTTAAGGCATCTAACCACAGGCATGTATGACTTTGTTTCGAGTCCCAACTCTTTGCATTGGTCAAATTAAAGTAATCCTTTACAATCAACAAAAAAATTGGACACATCTGAAAGAGAGTATATTTTTCTTTTTACATGCTATGCACAATTGGCAAATTTGTCACTCACTTTCCTCTTTATCCACGCACAGTGCACCAACCAAAAAATCCACAAGTGGCAGAAATGTCAACATCATTTTTCTTCTCAGCTTTTGGGATCTGGTCGACACAGCAAAACTGCATTGTAACTACTGATGAACAAAGATGCATCAGGGAACATCAAGTATAACAAAACTTTTCTTGCAGCACAGTAATAAAATGATCACTTCCTACTTCATAATAAATCCAAGCAGGGTCTTTCTTTCCATACACTCTCTTTTCCTGGTTGAACTCCTGAAAGTTTGTTTTCAAACACCTTTGTTATGAAAGGTGGAATGACAGCTGTCCTTCTTCAGCAGCCAGTCGCAGCTTGATTTGCATGATCTCTGAGGAGCTGTAGTCCGGCAGTTTCAGGTAGTTGACACAGGTCATGACAGATGGCAGGAAGTTGTCTGGATTCTCTGAGGTCTCAAAGGTCTTACGGACAATGGTCAGGGGTGGAGTCAGGGCCTTGAAACCTGCAAGTAAGAGAGGTGAATGAGAGAGACAGTTAAGAGGAAGATAAAGGAAGGTAGATCTCAGGTACTACTGCTTTGCACAGAATTGGAAGCTGCTTGAAAGAAGTCACAAAGAGGGCGCCATTGTGTTCCTGCTGTGTAAGGCATTTTGGAGGAATCAGGAATGTTCCTTGAAAAAATGCCCAACAAGATAGGGCCACTTTTACGGTGCTTCAATGTAAGGGCTAAACAAGCTTAGATCCACTAGATCCTAGGGATACCAACGAACTGTAATCTAGTGCATTAGCATCCATTGTTCATGAATTAAGGTTAAAAAACACCCAATATGGCTGCTGAATTCAATGCATCTTTAATGCAACCCCCCCCCCCCCCCCCAAAGATTACAAACGTCACATGTACAGTTCCCAGGATCCTTGGCTCCCGGTTTTAATGTACAAACGTACCGAACATCGTTGTTAAAAAAAAGTCAACAGATTAACAAACAAAAACTACCGGTTGTACGCGTATTAAACACTGTTTGGGCCACTTTTAATTCCCGACATCAAACCACCCATGGTTACATCGTGTTTGAATGTTGAAGAGTGACAGAGATGGCTATTATTTCCCCAAGAAATAAAAGGGAAAACCACCCGTTGCTAAGGTTTTGTGACAACTCCTCGTGCGGCCGCGGGATGTGAGAAATGCCAGTTCAGTGACTTCCGGCGGTTCAAAATCGCTATACCGAACGATTGTTATTACGAACACTTTCATTGGATCCCATGATGTTCGTTATAGCGGCGTTCCGCTGTACTTCTTTAGGCTCTCCTTGAATAGTTTCATCTACTTGGTGTCGCAGGGTATGACAACAGTTTACAATTGCTGTCTGCTGTGACGTATTCCAGGTGTTTTATACACCCAAGGGTGCAAATAGCAGCTGAGAGAAAGCAGAGGGTGCCCTTAGACAGGGGTTGCCCTTAACTTTTTTTTTGACTGGCCAGCCGGACCAGTTGGCTAGAATTTTGACTGGTCCGCCAGGTTTTTGACTGGTCCGTCTTATACAGCGTGTACCCACCAGTTAATCAGTTTCACATAAGTCATAACAAGACTATATAGTCGTGTTCCCTAACGTTGCGCACTTCGAAGCTTACCCAACTTTCCTTGTGTAGTGTTGCCAAATCTCTTTGTTGATAAACCTCAAATTCATATAGTGAAATACTGGTACTTTTACCTTTTTAATGCTTGCTATTTAACCTCTGTGAACAATTTCGGTTTCATAAAATTTAATCCGAAATGCAAAAAACGGTCGCGTCCGGAAATTGGGCACAAATAGGCGGAGTGTTCCTTAATGTGGCACACTTGAATAAATCTCGGAAAATTCCAAATTAACATTTAAGAATTTCTGTAAACTTGATAAATTCTGATAAATCATTATTATCTTAACTTACAAACCCAGCCAGATGTTTGTCAGAAAATTATTTTCTTATTTTTCGGGGCATTTTCAAAGGGTTCACTTTGCACTTGAAAATAAAATCGGAAAATCACGCCAAAATTATTTTTTCTTTTAACTTTGTAACGGGTAAATAGACTCGCGATTTATGAACGGGAGTGTTTAGAACTTGATGAAATTTCACTTTCTGTGAAATTTCAGTTAAAACTTTTGCTCTAGCTAGGCGCTACAGGCGAAAAATCAAAGTGCGCCACGTTAGGGGCCGCGCCACGTTAGGGTACATCAACATAGTCAACACCCATGTCATCATGTTACCTGAGCAATAGAGGTCTATTTTCTTCCTCCATGATCTGAGGCCGCAAACAAAATATAAAGTTCTGCCTCAGAAATTACATGCCTTTTAAAAATGGGGTCGGTCGGTCGGATTTTTGGGGGTTTTATGCAGCTTGAATGGGGTATTCAATTAGGCCTCAGTATGTGAAGGTTTAGCCTGATTTATTTTCATTGCACTACGAAAGCTATACACAAAATGATGGCCACAAAAAGTGAATAAAACCTACCTTAATTAGGCCCAAAAAAATTATTCTGCTTCCGATTACATGCCTTTCAAAAATAGGGTCGGTCGGTCGGAAATTCTTCTTTTTTTTGCCGATTTTTTTATGCAGATTGAATGGTGTATTCAGTTATGTGCGTAGTTTTAGCCTGAACTATTTTCATTGCACTACGAAAGCTATACACGAAATGGCAACAAAAAGTGAATACAACCTACCTTTAATTATTGTCAATATATTTACGTTCGATAATTTCAAAAAATAATGGAAAATTCAGGTCGTTCGCACCATATGCACAACGGTAGTCAAGACGCGGGGAGCTGGCCGAAACTCCGAGGTGTGTGATGCGTGCGTGTGTGGCCCACCATGGGCCGACAGACCCGTTTTACGGTCAAAAATTTCGGGAAACACACGGCATGTATCACTCCAAATACGAGTAGTGCGATCTCAAAATGAACTCTTGAACACAGAAAATACATACACAGACAAGCTAGATCAATTCTGTAAATTAACTTGCAAAAATGTTCTTTCTCCATCGGTGTTTTCTTGGCATTTTTACGATGTCGAATCCGACCAGTTGACAGAGCACGTGCCTGGCGCCTGCACAATGCAGAGCCATGCTAGCGCTATGATCACGTAGGCGTGCACAGACTAGTTACCGCATTTTCATCGTGATATCTTCTAAATTGGCGCGGCGGGAACCAGTCATCGCCGCATTGGGCTGGGTTTACGCACATGATTATAGTCACCGTGACATCGAATTGCGAAGTAGTCATATCGCGAAGCGAATTTGTAAAAACAACGGAGGTTTCTTTTGAAAAAAATAGCGAATGTAAGTAAGAAACCAAATAAATACAACAAGCATTTTTTTGACGCCGATTTTTTCGGCTGGCCAGCCGGACCACTTGGCAAGGTGTTTCAGCTGGTCCGCCAGCAATTCAACTGGCATTTGGCCAGCGGACCACCGCTAAGGTCGAACCCTGCCCTATACAAACCCCATGGCCTATATCACAACAGACAATTGTTGTTTTGTTAAGCCATGATTTAATTTTGTAATCTTTTTACTCTTTAAGAAGTAACAATATAATTCAAACGTCGTTTTCGTAAAGACATGAATAATTTATTTTTCTTGTGTGGACACCCTTTGCATTTTAATTGAACATTCCAATGCTTATGATAAAATGCGCATGCAAATTTCCATACAAATCCCAGCCTACCTATCCTATGTTGAAACAGCAATTAATGTGAAGCAGAGGAATTTCTTTCTCTTGGCCTAGTCGACAATATCTTTTCTGTATTTTTTTGTGTGACTGTGATCAGGGACTTTTTTTTGATGTGGGATCAATTTTTCTATTAAACAGTTGTAGGTACTGTGTACTTGTGATGCTTAATTTGTTTTCTTGAGGAAGCCAATGAATCGGGTGGGTACTGGTTACCAGTGAAGTCTTGCAGTAATCCTCATGACATGGGCAGTAGCGGAACATAAACCACACTGACTGCAAACCATATGCTGCACAGAGCACAATTAGTAACCACAGCACCTGATTAACAAGATGCCTCAACAAAATATCACAGTCTTTGGTATTGAAAGACTTAATCCCACCTCACAAATTAAGCTTCCACAATGTTAGCATGTCTTGTCTTAAAGTTACAAAGGCTTGTTGTAAAAGCATTGCAGAAATGGTTTTGCTGGCAAAATACATGTATAACAAATCTTTGTACTGTCCATGTTTGCATTAGGCAATTGTTTTTCATGAGCACAAAGGAATGTGCACAATTGGGTCAGGACTGAGGATTTCTGTTTGTTTTGACTGGGATTGCACAGAACAGAGTTTATTTCCAGTGATGAATCTAAAATACACCAAAGCACTTGCTGCACTGCACCTCACAAGCTTGAATTGGATTTGTTCTCTATCTGGAACCATTGACATTTTGTATGTGATAGCCTAAACCTGATTTTGTTGGTTTATTTTTATTATGTCCAAGCACTTTTACTGACTTCTTTCACCATTTGAGTCCCAATGTGAAACCACCGACTGAAAAACATGTATCTGGCTTAAGGACATAACTCCACAATTCCTGCCATTTTAGCAAAGATATAGAAGTAAATGTTAACTCACCCCCAACAGGTAGCCTGGGGCTTCCAGTGACAAACTGTAGGAACTGTCTCTGCTGCTGGGGATTGTATGATGCCATGATCTCAAAGAGAAACTTCACAGCAGAGCTGCAAAAAAGAAAGGTTAGGCCAATAAGTTCTCACTGTTCTGTGAGTGTGTACTCTCCCACAGTAAATGGGACACATGAGTACTTTCAATGTTGTAGTCGAGTCTTGTTTCTGAGTCACCATCAATACTCAATTTTTATATGATGATGTATATTTTCCTGAAGCCAAGACATCTTTTCTATTTTAGCCAGCTTGGAATTAGTATTTCATGCAGTAAACTCTTCTCCAGTCAAAATTGGATAACTCGAAACTCCATTCACAGAGATGCCAACATTTAAAATTGAAAAAGTGTAATTTTCCATCAGACACCTGCTGAAAACGAAAAAATTCCCTACATAACATGAAACCTGTTGGAAAAAAAATGGGCTTTGGAAAATGGGCTCTTTTACTTTGAGTGATGTCTTTTTTGGGCACACACTACATGTTGGCACTCTTTATGTGCTAAAAATCGCACATCCAATAGTCTGATACCAAATTCCCATTATATTAATACGTGCTATGCAAAAACAGAACTCAAGATACCACATGCAATACAAATTGTGCACACATTATGAATGTAAAATCTTGGAAAATCATAGAAAATCATATAAGGATCGTACAACCGTAATCAGGGTGAATAAATCGTATAAATTACGCCTAAATCTTAAACGTTGGCATCTCTGCATTTATCTCCAAGTAATACCCGTTTCCCGTCAAGAGAATAGGGTATTTTGTCATGAATGCCCCCCCCCCCCCCAACTCAAAATGCCCACACAAGTACCTCTGTTATCTCCACCTTGTGTTTGGCCAGTCTATAGAAAATACCACTTATACAGTCACAAAGAAGTGTAAAACAGATTGCAAAACTTAAATTTCAAGAGTCATTACTTGGGGGTGGGGGGCCTAATGAGTGAATTACATTTTAAAAGTCAAAAAGCTACAGAGGTCAGCCCACTGAGACATTTTCATGTTCTTAATTTCTTTTTCCAATATTTTTTAATTGTACTGAAAATATGGATATCGGTATTGGTATCATTATTGGGCCAATACAGTAAACAAAAGATCAGATATTGGATCAATAGTAAAAAGCCTGTTGATTAATTAAATACCACCATAAAGTACAAAATCATTACATAAAGTACACATGTGCAAGTACATGATTAAGTGAGTGTTCATTTGAAGCAGGTGATGATTGTTTGCTATGAGTAGGCAGGTAAAGGTACATTTTCTGATTTGTGTTTCAATGTTCATTTCCATTAAAAACAAAAAGCCAAAGTCAATTGTAAATTGTTTTTGCTCATTAATTGTTTTTTGCTGAAACTGAGTTGACAATTTGAAAATAGAAACTTTCAGAAGCACATTAGGGCTGAGTCAATCGAATAATTGACTATTCGAATATTCAACCTTCCATTCGATCAAATATTCAAATATTCAGTTATTTTGTCATTCCAAATTCTAACAAAAGCAGAAATATGCCATACATGTACATGTAGTTAATGTACGTGTGCACGTTGATATGTCATACATGTATGTGATTTCTTCCCAGGTAAGTCAGGTATATGAAAGCAAATAGCAGATCTTGGGTCATCAGTAATTTGACAATTAATAATCATCAGAGAAGGTGGAGTGAACAATTCCTTGTTTGCACAGGGGACTTATTAAGCCATGAACCCCAAACGCGGCGGGTGGCATCAGCCAATGTGACTCTCCGACCCTTAACTCGCAAAAGGAATCGAGGATACATTTCACTTAAGGCTTCTTGTAAGTCCACAAAACAGTGTATTTTCTAGTCAAAGTGTTGAGGATAAAAGTTTTCCACGATTTCTTCCAGACTTGAAGGTCAGCTATACCAGTAACCAGTATTGACCTTTCGGCATCGATGACGGCGATTTTTTTAACTGACATGAAGCTTAGAATTTCTTCTTCCGTTATAATTTAACATTTCAATCATACTGAGCATATTTTATGAGAAACACAACGTTCAAAAGTCCATGTTTTTTGTGGGGCATGAATTTCACTGCTCTGCTATAGCGTCTAAGTACATAATTGGATTAGCTTTTCTTAATAACGGCAGACGCTTTGCCTTAGCAGCCACATGACTGTACACATGCTCCTTGACACGTGCTGGAGAGTAATCCTTTGTTTGCACACAGGTGACCTATTACAAGCCGTGAACCCCAAACACTACGGGTGAACCCCAAATACAAGGGGTGAACCCCAAAGTTGCCAGCGGGAGGGCGGCTCCAGTGGCGCATTCAGCACAGGTGTGCTGACCCAATTCTTTTGTCTGGCTAAGTGCGTGCTCGTGAGATTACTTTCTAAAATAGATCACTAAAAGGACTTGCTACAATGTAATAAATTTTGTCTAGCTGTGTTTTTCGATGCTGGGAATCAGCAGTTGCAATTCTGATAACGGTGCGGCGAGTTGACCATAGAGTCTGTTTGGCGAAATAAATAAGAGTTTCCTTTTGAGTTTGAAATCCTGTGTGTTGTGTGTCCCCTTTTCTTGCATTTTGCTCGACTTGGAGGACAAGAGCCCAATAGGTTCCTGCTACAGTAATAACACTGAAAGCATTATCACTGAGCTGGATCTGTTACACAGTACCCTGTGGAGACATGGGTAAAATAGGGAACAAATAACTAAATACGTCTCCACAGGGCAATTTCTGTAGATGAATAAGTCATAAGGACATAAGTCAAACATTTAATATCCATAATAAATTTAACCCTAAAACTAAAAGTCTTTTAGGAAATCCCAGGGTCCGTAACGTAAATGAGCCAAGGTTTTCAAAACGTTTTAATGTAATGTTGGGGTTCATGAAAAGTTTTCTACAACACCGCCACGTGCTGTGGTCAGCATATTGCGTGCTAGGGGATTCCCCCAGTGTGAGAAATCTTTCTGGCGGGCAGTTAACCTCGTGCATTTGACACGATTGAACAGGCGACTAAAAACTTTTGGGGGATCTTAGCTACGATGTATCAGTGTAAAGTATCGCTTCATGTACGAGCAGTATGACCTCAAAATAAGTACATGAAAACGAAAAATACATAGGCCCACAAAGAAAAGAGAAATCAAGTTCTTTTAATGAACTTGCAGAAACTTCTACTTTGATGTTTGCATGTCATTTTCGCGATGTCAATTTCAACCTGTTACGCTAGGCCACACTGGTCCTTTCTCATTACTTAACCAGTCTACCATAGCTGCATGCATATGTACATGTAGCACCAACGCTAGGGGATCGCTAGGGGATCGCATCTTGCTCGGATCGCATCGGGGAAAACAGCGGCGTTTTGTTTGTTTGTGAAAATAGCAATTGTAAGTAGGGCAACAAACAAAAAATACGGGCAACGGAAATGTTACTCCTCATGCTAGAGTTAATGATGTGAAAAGGCGTTGGGAAGTGTTTTGTGAAGACAGGGTCAGGGACTGGCAAAAAATATTGGGTTGGTCGGGTTACCGCAAGCACTTTCAAAGCAGAAGTAATGTATGAATGCTGGGCATATTTACCAGCTGCTTTTAAGTTTTTGGCAACATCTTGAAACTAACTTTGAGAATGCACTTTTGTTATTAAAAAAAAGGGTTTTCCACATTTTTTCATATCATTGCATTTCACCTCCGAATATTCGAATTCGATAATAAATATTTGAATATTCGATAATCGATTGAATATTCATATGAAGTGAATTAAATCGCAATTATTATTATTCATAATAATTAATTAATTTGTAATTACAGTTGTCAACTATGCATACACCCTTTAAATTCAGTTTACCTATCAGAATCTCAGAAAAGAGGTTCCTGCATCTTTAGGACAATAAAGGTCCACGATGTTCTAGGACTTTCCAGGACTTAATTATGAAAATCCATGACCTAGTCCATCAAAATGCAGATCAAAGCTTGATCTGCATTTTGATGGACTAGGTCATGGATTTTCAGTTATCAGTTTTAAACTTGTTCCATGAAAAGTACTCGACAGAAACAGACAACAAAACAATGCAATAATGTCTTTCAAAATAAAATTGCTTGTATCAGCGAAATTTGTCGTATTTTGTTGGGTAAAAATAATCAGATTTGCAATGCTGTATTGGTCCTCAACAATTCCATGACTTTACCATGACTTTTGTCATTATAACAAATTTAAAGTCTTTTCCAGGCATGGAAATTGAAACCCAAATTCCATGAATTGTGCATGTTTTTCCCAGGCTGCAGGCACCCTATGAGTAGGCCACAATGTGCCACTTTCTGTTTCTGCACCGAGTCTATGGTGTTTCTCTTTTTATTTCTGCCATCTGTTTCAATCTATTTCCTTGTGAGAGAAGACTTACCTGTCATGTGTGTAGCCATGGTCAGGACGGCAGCATTCTATCAAGGTCTTGATGTCCCAGGGTTCACTGCTATTACCACAGAACATCTGGTCCATCTACACAACGACATATACAACAGGGCAGGCCATAAAATAAAGGGGAGTGACATGAATGTCCCACTTGAACATTTCATTATGAGATATCAATGCATATTTAAACTGTATGTAACTAATATGACACCCTATTAAGTTTCGTATATTTGTAAAACACGAAGTAATTTCTTGCCATTTCTGGACACTTGTAGGCCAATGGCAGATATAGCAGCTACAATGTCACATCGTTCAGTTTGTGGTATTAAACACCATGTGGTAATAACTACTGCTTAGAAGATATTTAGCTCTGAAAAGAACTTGTCCTGCTTATTACCAACTTTCGCTAAGTAGTTTTAGTTCTGATAAGAACAGTCCTGCTTTTAAGTTCTAAAAGAACTTGTCTTTGGTCTCAATGTTTCGACTAGCCTGCTCTAGTCATCGTCAGGAGACTCAAGAGAGTTGGAGATGCTACTCCTTAAGTAGGCTGTGTTAGGATTGGGAGTGCTTGTGTTGGTAGATTCTGATTGGTTGTCTGTTGGGCATGGTGTTGGAGCGAGATGCCGTGCTTGCCTAGGTGTGTCAGTTGGTTGTGAGCCCTAGGCATTGTGTTGGACTGGGATGCCTGCTGAGTGTCCTGCTCACTCAGGTGTGTCAGTTGGTTGTGAGCCATGAGTGTTGCAACTTGGTATTAGTGAATGCCATATGTTGCTAATGAAATAGCCGATGTTAGTGTCATGTTTGTGGATCTCAATAGCTTCTCTGATACGACAGGTGTACCAGTGTTTCTCTGGGGCTATGATTTCTGGCAACCGGCATGTCGGGTGTGTTCGGGGGTCTGAGACTTGTTCGTATTTGGTGCGAAGTTTTGATTTTTAAGGTGTGTACCCACTGTCTCTTTGCACTTTATTGAGGTGCTTCAATTCGGATTGTAGGTGTTCATCGTCACTGATGATGTGTGCCCTTCGAAGTAGGGTGCGGTTCCACCCACTGTCATGACAGTTCATGACAGTTCATGACAGTGGGTGGAATGAACGAGCATTAAGGTATCGGTCTGTATGCGTAGGTTTCCTGTACACAGAGTGTCCAAGTGAACCATCGGCCCGTTTGGAAATGAGTACATCAAGGAAAGGCAATGAATCGGTTGTCTCGGTTTCCATGGTGAACTGTATACTTGGAACTATCTTCCTTCTAAGCAGTAGTTATTACCAAATGGTGTTACTGCAAACCGAAACAATACCGATACTCAACCATGCAAAGCCTTAAATCATATACAATGTCACAGCTCACTATCTGAATTCTTTTTGTCTTGCCTGAATTTTGTTCAGGAATGAGACTATGCAATCACTATGTCTGTCTGTATGCATGTATGTATGTAGTATGTATGTATGTATGTATGCATGTGTAAACACCGGCAATCGTGGACTAGGGACAAAGGGTTAGGGCACAAACAAAGGGTCCACGATTGACCGAACGTCCACGATCTCAAATCATGTACAAAACCAATGAGAGCTGTTGCTAAAAAGTAAAAAGAGTACAAACAAAGGAATGAGGATTAGGGACAATAGGGCATCCATGATTGCCGGTGTTTACACACGTACTATGTATGCGTGCGTGTACGTGTTCATCTTTCTAAACCGTTGACGAAAAATACCAGAGAACACTAGAGAACAATATCATCCACGATTCCCAGCATACGTCTGTGATTGGGGTCGTGTACAAAACATATTGGAGTCTTCCTAAAAAGTTACAATACAAACAAAAGAGGGACAATAGGACGTCCACGATCGACGGTGAACACACGTTTGTGTGGGTGTATGTATGTATGTATGTATGTGTTAAAATTCTAGAGTTTGAAAGTGTAGTTTCAAAATGTACACAGTACCCTGTGGAGACATGTGCATAATAGGGAACAAAAGATTGTATATGTCTCCACAGGGCAATTTCTATAGAGAAATACATCTCCATAAGGTTATTATGAAATAGATATGGATTTTACTCAAAAAGTAGGAATTTCCAAGGTGTGTTGATCTGTCGCAAATTGAAGTATTTATGTAACATGAGCATTTTGAAACTACACTTTCAAACTCTAGAATGTTAGTACATGAGATGAAAGAAATGACTCCACAAGGATACCAATTCCAGTAAGCTTGTATGTATGTTTGTGTTAATTTGGTTACATTTTCGTAAAATTGGTTTAATTTCAAAAGTTGAAGTCCAATTGGAACCAAACTTGGGTCACAGATGCAACACGGCAACCTTCATATAATATTGATGTCAAAGGTCAAATACTGAGGTCAATGGTCACTCTTTACAGATAATCGAGAAATGTGCAATAATTGGACAGCTGATTTCATCTATTACCTCTTCTGGGTAGAAGCTCTGAAGATTGGACAATGGGAAGACTGACTGAAAGCCATCTCGCAGGGCCTCAAACTGCCTGGACACCCCTTCTACAAGAGTCCAGTGAGTCACAAGCTGCAAGAGATACATTTTGGTCATAATTGTTAAATAGGAAAGCAGGGCTTTAAATCACAACTACTGGAAAAGATGTGATGACAATACTGTAATTTCAACAATACAACTTTTTAGTTGGTTCAGCTTTTCACATTTTTTTTCTTCAATATCTAGGACAGTTCCCTGATTCTTGTGGGTCAAGAGTCTGTCACACGGCTGGTTTTAACCACTGTTTATATTATCACTAACATGTGTTTAAAAGTGGCCAGTAAAAAAGGTGGCTCCTGAATCAGGGCAACAAACTTCTGCTGTCTTTGTATTTTTGAATGATGGAGTATAATTTATACCCGAAAGTTGGTGTGTTTTGACGTTTGGGAAACTTGTTAAGACAAGCAATTGATTTTTGATCATTTTTAACTGAAAACGTCTTTTAAGCGGAGAAACAAGAATATGTCTTTAAAAAGTTGCATTAAAAATGTTGTCTGCTTGCTTATATCCCATACATGCAGGTACATAATCCAGCCATTGCAAGCATGTAATTAGAAGCACTGCTTCATGCACCAGTCCGGCCAAGGACACACCAATGCAGAATGCAAGACAGGGCATTCCCATTGGTTTTTACCAACATCTATATGTTTGTCATCACACTCTTATTCCCTTTTTTTACTGCCTTTATGAATCAATTTTACATTTTGGTTTGGTCTGGGGCCCAATATCTCAATATATAGACATACTGGCAAAGAACAATTTAAAGGTTATTTTAAATGGAAAAAGTAGCTTTACTTCTGTAAACATTTCACCGGACAGAATCTCTTTAGTGTTGTAGTCGAGACCATATAGTGCCAATTCGATTCTGCGTTTCGATTCGTATACCCTTTGCCCGTACCGTACGGGTAAGAGTATGCATCCGGTACATGTACAATGTACCGTGTATTGTGTATTGTGTATACCTCAATAAGAGCACCATATGCATAGGGACCAGTGAAGTTAGACTTAAAGCATGCGTAAAATCAGTGCGCCGTGCAAATGGAGCGGGATACAAGGTTCATTTTGTCTTAATACACGCCACGAGTGTCCGGTTACGAATCGCGACAACGAAATAAACCTACTTGTGTTCAAGACTACTTAGGCAACCTGCATGTGCATGCGCATGGTACGGTACGGTACGGTGGAACATGGCAGCGCCCACATGTCTGGAAAGCGCGAGCTTAGAGTTCAATTTTTTTTGGATCAAAAACGACTGAAATTTCTAAATAAACTTCATATTACACCTCTTTACGCCAAGACAAAAGTTAATTTTTTTGTGAGCGAGCTGATACTAATTATTACCGTTAAGAAAGGACAAGCTTTACATTTGTTCCAGGAGGATTCCCTATACGTACGGGAATGCCAGTGGGCCGTGTTGTTGCAAAGGTACTGTATATGGACTGCAGCTGCATACCGCCATCACTGAACTGGACACTCGTTAATTTTTTATTGAATGGAAAATCAATATTTTAAGATCGAAAATTAGGGTGGGTGGGTGGGTCAAAACAATTTTGAAAAAAATTAACATTTAAAAACATAAAAAAAATTAGAATGGCCTATAACTAACAAAAATCTAAAAAAAAACAAGACACATAATTACAGAAGTAAGTTGTAACCTTTTTATTCACGAAGATTACAGACAAAATTTTGACCAGTGACACCGTTGAAAAATTGACATATACATAACACCTCACTTGAGCAAGAAAGAAGTAACACGTGCAGTCCGAACCAACCTGGATATATAAAGATTCGTTAACAAGGATGACAACATGATCTACGGGCTAGCAAATGTTTTACCTATCAACGGTACTGAACGAAGTGAACACAAAGTAATTGATCGAGCTGTAAATGCTACATATTGCTGGTCTCGACTCGAGACCAGCCAAAATATCGAGACCAAAGGGGACCGAGACCAAGACCACAGCTCCCAAGACCGCCGATTTTCAACTTCATACAGTGCCTGGTTCTGGAGATAATCGAAATACAGACAGACACACCCTACGAAACAAAGACAGACACACAGTATTTACCAATACTGGACAATAGTATCACCCTACAGTAAGGGTTGCTCGGTCAAGTGCAGTGATGGTTGCTCAGTCAACTGCAAAATGCATTTGCCCGTGCAGCCACGTACGTGTACATGAAAGTCTGACTCTTATGAAAATCTGACCTTTTTCCCTATTATTGGTTAATCCCTCGCACGTGACAGGTCACTCGCTCATATTTACCTTAAGAGGAGCGTATTATTGTACTCAGGCATGCGCAATATTACCAATGAGTCCATATTTCATGGAGTCGGATATTCACACTACACCGGCCGGAGACAAAAACTAATGGTATGCAGTGCTTGGTGGCCTATTCACCCATACTGGATAATAGTATCGCCCTACAAATGCCCATCCTCTTGTTGCGTCATATTGAGCACGCGCGCTTTAGCTTTACATGAAGTAAACAATTGAAAAACACGGCAGTGCGTGGTGGTCTGGGCTATATACTGCCACGTTTGCCTCAGAAAATGTTGCTTTATTGGCAGCTTTTTTAAGAACCCTTCGTCCAAACAACTTCAAATTTTGCACTGCACATTTTGGGGTCCCGAGCAATACACCCGCCGATTTTCAGCTTCATATGGTGCCCAGTTCTGGAGATAATCGAAATACAGACAGACAGACACCACGACACCACAAACAGACAGACAGACAGACAGACAGAGATTCCTGGAATTATAGTTCAGATAACGTCAGACTTTGCCCCCTCAAGTCACTTTGGATGTGAAAACGTGGCATTCATAACATATGAAATATAATTCCCCTCCCCACGCACCAATTTTTTTTTCAATCTGAGTGAAATTCATCTTAAATGCCCTAAGTTTAGCTAGCAGATAACCTGATTAACAGGGCACAAAGGCTACAGTCCAAGACGAGGTCTACTGTGCATTTCTGTGGGGTTTTGTTTGTAATGGTATGCCGCCTGGCAATGAGTCGGAATGCGTGCCACTGCATGCAAGTCCGTGCTGATGCAGGCGGCAGATGCAAGCAGATGTGTGCTGATGTGGGCCAGTGTGTTCCAAATGTCCTTTGTTTGAGTTTGCCCGGGGGCGCACGCAAATCGGAATTAATCCATGGGCCTTACATCAAGCTAGACTGTAGTCCATTGCAAAGAAAATTAACCAAGTCAGTTTTTTGTCTTCCAACCAGTCACAAATAGCTAAAACATCGTTACTAATGAAATGTCACAGGCTTTCGTATTCAATAACTGCTTTAAATTTTTCAGATGGGGCATACATCAGCATTGACTGCTATGGACTCCACATGGCACAAGTACCCTGTCAATGGTTGTAAACAGAGAGTTGGGGGAGGCCACTGGAAAGGATGTTCAAACAAACCATCGGCACTTGAAGCTCACGCGCAGACGCTACACGTTTGTGCACTGAAATAAGTTGTGCATACTTAGCACTGAATATGCAGTTCATGCATGCCATGCACTGAGCAACATGTAAGCTGAATTGCACTACCCAAATATAGTGGGAGTATTTGGAAGGGGGAGGGCAGGATATTCAATGGAATACGTGCTACAAACTAAACTTTACATTTAGGGCTTATTATATAAGAGGGGAGGAAGTGGCTTAAAATAAACTGTTATGAATGTTTAATTGTGAAGAAAAAACACCTGCTTACCGTTCCCCCCCCCCCCCCCCCCAGTCTTGTTCTGTAATTGTGGGGACTACACGCCTGATGAGCGATAGTTATTATGGGGACAAACCACGCTATGGGGCCAGCAGGCATTCCCCATAACTCGGTCATAATTATAATTTCAATAAAAAAGAAAACACAACAAGGTGCCAACTAGGACACACACATAGTGGTGTTGTACAATACTTCTGAAGACCCTTATTGTTCCCTTCGTTTGTTGCTATTGTTTGAACTTGAACCCTCTCTCAACACGTCCCATACAGTTTATACATGGAACCGTTAAAAGGACATGGGCTCAAGTCCTCAGGGTTATTATCCCAAGTCCTCAGACGTAAAGGATAACAAGATCACACATAGCCTTACGAACCCAGCCTTACACAAAGCCTTACAGACAGGGTTTGTGGGGGTAGTTTCACTGTTTTCCTGTCATCCTTCTTCTATAGACTTGCCCTCGTGAGGTACTGTCGGACTAAGACTGATATGTGGGGGACCATTGCTCCCATGTAACCCATTGTTCCAAGCCCTCAGACGTACAGGATAACCACAGCCCAGGCTGGACGACGCGTATTCATTGCATTACGACTGACGTCCTACCTGATGATGGAAGATGAAATTTCGCTTACATATTCCTTGTGTCCAGGATTGTGCATGCGCTGGGTTTAGAAAAAGGCAAATATGTTGAGTGAAGACGTACACGCACGTGCAGTTTGCTACCAGGACGGCAGGGTGCTGGGTGTGCATGCATGTGCGCACGTAATCTTCACACAGGGAGTTCATACTGAAAATGTTTTCAACGAAAGTGTGGGATTGCAGTTTGTTTTCGGTAAACACGCCGCCTGCGGACATATTTGCCTTTTCTAAACCCAGCGCATGCACAATTCAGGACACAAGGAGTATGTAAGCGAAATTTCAGCTTCCTCCGTCAGGTAAAAATATCAAAAAATGTGTTATAATTTCTTTCGCTATAGCAGGAGAGATTCATACCCTGTACTCCGTTGCGTGTACACAACGAAGTCCAACCTGGGCTAAAAAACCAGGTACAAATACATACACAAAAAACACCCACAACCTTTTTTCTGCTCTCTTGTTTTGTTATAAAGAGTTCACAATGTAAGTAAACATATTGACTTCACAAACCATTAGAAGCACCTTAGTACTTTATCATCCTGATAAGTTTTTGTTTTATATTTTTCAGTGACTGTTAATTATCTATTATGTCAATTACAGACAGCTTACTGAATTTGATGTTTTCAATACACTGCTGGGCCAAGATCAATGCTATCCTATGTGAGACTAGAGTGTGCAGCAAATATGGTAAAATGTTACTTGAACATTTAAATGTAGCTTTACCACTTGATAAACTTTAATGAAATTAAATGTAAATTCCAGTTGTTAATACCCGATATAAAACTACAACCACAAATATGTGAGTCACGGGGGAAGGCTGAGGGATTGAGTGTCCTACCTTGAGATACTCTTCTAGGTTGTGTATAGTGACCAATGTATCCTTGCCGCCTTTCTTCAGCTCAATGTTGCCATAGCCAGGCAGGGTGAAGTCTAGTCCCAAGTCTTCCATGGCACTGCCATCAATGGTCAGGCTGTCTAGAGCCAACTGCAGGCTGGCCGGTGTCTGTATCATGAACAGTCAGAAAACAAGGAATACTTTTTTTGTTATATATGTATTTTTTTTTTAAGAACTCGGTAGTCCTCATTACAGCTTCCCAATGCTAACGCCACTAACTGTTCTAGACCATCCAGGATTTGCAGCACAAGGTAACAACTGTTTTACACCATACACAACAATTCTGCACACACACAAAATAGATTTTAAGAAAGTTATTGGATAAGCGATCAGTTTAAATTGTTCATTATCAATTATGTATGGTTTGTCTTATGTTGTTTTTCTTCTGTTTGTAAGATTAACCACAGTATCATATGCAATCATAAATAGAAGCTCCTAGCGAGGTGGTATGGTACCATGCTTACACACAAATATTTTGCAGGCATTCAATGCTCCTTCAATCATTTGGGTTGTGAAACTGCTGCTTCTACCTCAGTAATGATCGACAGATGCATCTATGGATGACCATTTAATCTACTTTAAAATTGACAAGGTTTATTTATACTATTAATACCATACATAAACTATACATTTTTATAAAAACTAAAACTAACACAGGAAAGTGAAAAAAAGGAATAAACATAAAGGAAACCAATCACTTTGGTTATTGAATAAAAAAGAAAAGAAAAGAAACAAACGCCATACATGTGAGCTGTCTTCCAGTAGCTTCTTCTTCTGCTGCATGAGTTCTTCTAATTGGAAGAAGGAGCGAGCCAGGACTGGATCAATGTACTGCAAGTCATAGGAGTTGAGGGACTCTGACTTGCCCAGTAGCCACTTGTAGAAGGGAAGGCTCAGAGGTATGTCGATCTGTAAGCAAGATTGAGGAGTGCATGTAAATTGAGCCTTGCTCTTGAGTGTATACACTGTAGACTGTTTCAAACACGCATTGAATGATGACTGGCATCAGGTGTGTGTCATCTGAGATCACATCTTACAGTTGATCCTGGTTGTTCAGGTCCCTGTTTTGCGGCTTTTGTACGGTTGAATCAAAGGTCACAGGTACTGAGCTATTCTTTGGAGGCACACAGAAACATAGGTAATTATGAATGACAACAAACCTTTCTCCAAGTAAAGATAGGGCTGGTACCCAATATCTTATGAAATTATTCGGCCTGAAGTCAGCAGTCATTGAAAGTGGTTTAACAAAGGCGTACCTGCTTGCACACCTCTTAGAAATGTTGAAAATATTCATTACATACTGTGAGGAATTACTTGTGCACTGGGACCTCAGCATCACCTACACAAACCGCTGAATTAGAATCACGTCTCAAGTGCAGATTGAGGGATTGCACACCAGATGGTGTAATTCAAATAACAGCATCTTTTGAATAAAAAGTGCTGGTAACAGAATCAACCTACCAAATAATTGTGCATAGGCTATCCTTGTTTACCCCAGAAGTATAGTAAGCTGAGGGTTTAACTGGTTAGTTGTTATACACCCTCCTAAAATGATGTACCATTCATGGAGGCTGGGAATCTCAGCAGTCCAGAATACGTATGTTGAACATTGGTGCTTGTCAGAAAAAATTCAGGGGGCACTTAGAAAGGCCTCATTTTATGGAGGGGAACACTCAGTCACCTTAAACAATAAAAAGCTCATTTTTACATTCCCCAAATTTTGAGTGGTGGGCACAAGGGGGGGGGGGAAATTTCCATCCCCCAGTTACACCACTGTTTTCATCATGACAAATTCAATTTGAAAGACAAGTAGTCAGTGTTATATCTAAGAAGATGTTGAGAAACTGCATTTTGGAATATTTATCTGTGCACAAGTTTTAAAAATATTTAAATGAATTTCATGTGTGTGTGACGATGGTTCCATTGTTCAGTACCCTTGCTAAAAATTGAATAGCACCTTGTCCACGACCTATTGCGACAAATTTCCAATAATCGAGCATTGCTGTGATAGGTTTTGAGGTCTTGATCCCTGTTTTTAACCACTTGACACCAGTGTTATTTGGACATTGATCGGACCCAGGCACGAGATTGTTTTTCACAACTTTGATGCCAGACAGGTTCAGGCCGTCATCTGCGGCCTCGCTAATTGCGTGTTTATCCATCATCCGTTCAGAATACTGCAAAACCTTTGTATCCGACATGAACTGGTTAACTGCAAAGGACCATGGTGATTTGGTACGCAGGACAACCTTTCACATGACATGGTATCTGTGCATGTTTGACACTGCATGAACGGGCTTCAGCTAACATTCCAATGAACCCCACTTGAAGCACACTGGAGGACGCTGCTCATTTGTCTGTTATTGGATTACATATTTTGGAAGAATTTTTTGAAGCATGTACCTAGGGCACTCTTTTTTAGTGAATAATTAATTGCTCTAGAGGCTGAAGTACAGGAAGGGTTAAAGGGAACACAAAAAAGTGTTACACTGAAACATATTCTGTGCAAATATCCACGCCTATGAACTGTATGAAAAGAATGTAATACATTGTTTTGGTTTTTGAAGTGCAGTTTTCAACTTTTTACAATGTCTGATATTCAGTGCTATTCCCAAACATCCGCGGGCACTATTGCTGTGATGTCACCTTAAATTCTGTGTACAAATGAAGAATCTAAAAAGTTTTTTTATAAGGCTTTTCACTGGCTGTCGTTGTATACTGAATCAACAAGAAACACACACAAACAAGAGATATTGGAACCCCTCTCCCTCCTCACAACATCCCCCCCCCCAAAAACCCCCAAAACCACCACTCATACAAAAGTCTTTTCACTATTTTGTGCTTCAAACAATCCATTAAAAGCCCCAAAAGGCCCCAACACACCCCTAGTAATGGTAATGGCCAATCAATAGTGAATCACACCATGGCTACAGGAAAGTTAATTTCAGCCTAACTTCCCAACCCCTTAACTCCCTCATTTTGGATCCTTTTACACAATCCTTTTCTTCTGCCTTTTTTCTGAACCTACCATTCTGGAGTCCATGAGTGCCTTGGCCATAAACTTGCCTAGGAATCGGAACTTGGCCTTGATCTTGTTGACAGCCTGGCTCTTGGCACTGCGGCTGAGTGGGGCAGGGAATAGGCCTTGGGTGGAGTGGACATACTTCACCCCTGCTTGTGCCCCTGTGCATAAAACAAAAATAAAAGAGACACAAACCAATCACAAACTCTGGTAAGGAGACCAGGAACAGGACATTCCTAAAGAGCATATTTTTGTATTTAATTACAGCAAAACTTGATTTGAGAGATTTCCCAATCACTTACATGTGATTGAATTTGGAAAAAAAGGCATTATTAGGCAGCTAAACAGACAACATTTTGTTTCTGTTCATAAATTTTACCAGTGCAGACATATGCATGTTTTCTCTACACCATAAATTACAGAATATCTCGTCTATGGGCAGCTGCAACATCCTGGCCAAGATATATTTCACTTCTTATAAGCTAATATCATGAGTGAAACATTGTAATGATAGAAAAAATGACAAAAACAAAACAAGTAAAGAATTCAATCTCACTAAAGCACACTAGGGTCTATAAAGGAAGGTTTTAAACAGCTGTTAAAACACAGAATGGCTGGTTTGAAACACTTTTCCGGTATCACATGAAATTTTGACTCCTATGAAATCTGGTCCCTTTTACCCTCTTTATTGGCTGAACGTTCACAATCTTCACTTAGGCATGCGCAATACTACCAGTGAGTCTGTATTTCATAGAGTCCTCAATTCATACTACACCAGCACCACTACGTTCTGCACCACATTGCGCAGTAAGTGCCATGTGCGTGCCAATTTCCTTATAAGGAGCTTTATTAATACTCAAGAGAGGCACATAGCATACACATAGCTAGAGGGGTGTTTCAAAGAACATGAAGATATACAATTGTCAAACACAATCATTTGAAATTTATATGTTTGACTTGTTTTGATTTTTTGACTGAAAGGTACTTATGAAAGGGAATAAATATGTGTTCGGCCGGCATTAAACAAGTATGTTTAAAACCGGGCAGGGGCCTGGTTGCCGATAATGTCCCTCAGAGCCGGTTTTAAATATACTTGTTTAAAACTGGCCAAGCACATATTTTTTTCCCTTTGTACAACTGTTATTCAATCACGTTGTTAAATGTTGACGGGTTTATAACCAGGCTGTCTGCTTATATTTCTCTGAAGTCCAAATAGGTGCTGACCAGTCGGACTGATCCAAATATTGTTTGTCACCTTGATCCCAGGGATTAATTCCAGGTGTTATCTTACCCTTGGCCTCAAGTAGCATCACATGTTCACCCCTCCAAATGTCCAGGTCAGCCCTCTGAAGTTCCTGGGAAACTAGTGCATAGAATTCTAGCGTTGGACCTAGGCCTGTCCCAACCTAGAGTGTTACAAAACAATCAAGAAAATATAAAGTTTATCAAAGTCTTTCAATTCAACCTCTAGTACAGAAAACATACTTTCTCTTGTATCCTGTTGTTTTGATGAGAGACAACAAGATCAAAGTTGTAGAAAATGGCAAAACCAGTTTTGTACACAGAATTACTACATAGTCAAAAATAATGGGTTCAACTTCGTCAGCCACAGAAATTCCAGATGTAACTAGCTCAACTTGACAGTAACACATGTACACAAATGTAGCTACAGCCTGACATCACCACAGCCACAGCCACAACCAAAGCCACAGCCACCGCAGTTATTTGTTATTTCTTTCAGTGCCCATTTTTCCTTGAGCAAGGCTTTGTCCTTATCAGGTACTTTGTGGTTACAGCTTCACAAAAGGTGACTATCCACAGCTGTAGACAATAACGGCTGTTTTTGGACAGTTGAACATTTCTCTTTGCTTTACCTCATTGTTGTATTGGATCTCTAGGATGGCTCTTGAGCCAGCTAGGTCATCCATCACGGTCTCTGCCTGCTTCAGGAGGTCATCTCTGGAGACTGTTCTCTGCGCAACATGGACAAAAATAACAAAACCCCACAACATATTCATCCTTTCATAAGATTGCATTTGCGTCGGGGTGATGTCAATGTTGGGTTCTGCCCTTCACTGACATATTTTTATAAACACTGTATACTCAGTGTTGTTTTAAGTGCTTGTGAGGAAAAATGTTGGTCTTTCCAGCTGAGAATTAACTGGACAAATATGCCTGGACCTCAGGGAGAAAAGTGTTGATCAAAGAGAATACTGAAGTACTGATCAGATGGGGTATGAAAATAAATGTGTAAAGAGAGAGGCGTAAGATCTGCTGTGTGTTCATAATGTGCACGCAGGTGTTTACAAACACAGTTTCCTCTCAATCTAAGTCAGTTACCTGACAAATTTTTTAAAATGAGATTAGGGCAATTTAGAACAGACTGAATTAAGATAATTTGTTCATGGTCACCTTTCTCCTGTCCAGCCTGGGAGCTACTCTCTCATTGGTATCTGACGTGTTCATGTCAGGGTTGTTCTCCTGTAGCCGCTGCATGGCCCGGTCACGGTCAAACGCGGTGGCATAGAACAGCATCTGCCGCGTGTCAAAGGGCAACAGGAAGGGACTAGAGGAAAGGAAAGAAATGAAAACTGCAATCATTTAGGGATGGCCATAAGGATGTTCTTTTGCATAAACATTCCCAGATTCAATGCTGTTGGTATCACTGTGTTCTACTGAAAAGTTCCAAGCATTGGATTCCCTCTTTTGTTTTATAAAAAGCATCCTGCACGGGATCCATTTGGATCCCATAAAGTTTTGTCTTCATCGGTGCTACTCACATGGATCAACACTGACTCTGCTGAACTTAAAATGATACTCAGACTAAGCCCACCTTGATCTCTGTGTCCAAACAATAACAACACTTGTTCATCAAATACAAGATCACTTAATCAGTTTTAAGTAGAATATAAGCAATTTCAGACCATGCTCTCGCCACTGCATTTAGCCAAGAAGGTAAGTTGCCCGTCATGATGACCAAGGGGTCCTGAAGTTGTCTGGCTGCTTTGGCCATGAGCTTACTGTTGGTCAGCTCTGATGGGCTGAGAGCAGGCTGTGGTGCAGCTCCCTATGGGGCAGTCAGGGAAAAAAAGATAAGATAAATTGGCAAGTTACGTGTAATGATGGTTTTAACCCTAATTTCTAAGGCATTTTTGCTATGAAAATTACTGGAGCCATCTCAATCCTCCATTGTGCATGAAACGGACACATTATTTGTATTTCATTCCTTTGGAAATTTCCAAATGTTTAAGACTTGTCACTTTCCTAATTATCTTCATTTAGGCGTGTGCAATACTACCAATGAGTGCATATTTCATAGAGTCCTAAATTCACACTACACCTGCACCACTGCACCACAATGTGCAGTACGCGCCACATGAACGCAATCTCCTTATAAGAAGATATTTAGTACTACTCGCATGAGGCACATACCACAAACATGGCTAAAGGGGTGATTAAAAAAACATTAAGTAAAATTGTTTAACAGAAATCGTTGGAAATTTATAATTTTCGACTTTTTGATTGAAAGGTATTTATGAATGGGAATAAATACGTACTTAGATGGTATTAAACAAGTACGTTTCAAAACAGCTAAAGGCCCGGTCACTGATAATGTTTTATTGAATTATTTCACTCATCATTTCAAAGGTTTGATGTGAGCACAAGTGACTACCTCATAGAGGCAGTTCCAGTGTTTACAGAGTCCATAGAGAACACGGAGCAGAGATATGGCCTCCACCGATGGGTCATCAATCACGACCCCTCCAGGCAACTTGGGTGTGAGGTAAAGCTCCAATGGAGAGATGTACGTTGGGCAGATACCATCTGTTGGAAAAAGAAATAATAATGAAGCAATTTGCAGAGTTCTTCTTCAGGTATCTTTGCTCGTGCAAAACCTCATGGTGCATTTTGAAGGATCTCAGAGCATTATGGTTGAAAAGAGAGAATCAACTGCCAGCATATGAAGGGAATGCTCACAGTAATGAGTCATGAATGATTTCAGAAATCTTCCCGCGTCTGTCCGTATCTTGAACTAAAATAAGGGCACCAAGCTCTATGTTATGGTTTCACACACCACTCGTTAACTCAGCTGTGTACATTCAACAACAACCACATAATATAAGCTTTCATCAAATGGAAACATGTCCATGTTAAAATGCCAGTTCATAGTTCACACAATGGATTGTGCACAATTACACAGAATGTGGCCGACTCTGGAATGCATTGACAGCACTCATGCCAAAACACAACAGGTTTAAGAAGATTCACATACAAAGAAGTTTTGTATACTTCAAGACACAACACTCGAACCAGCAAACACACCACGTCCTGTGCATAGAGCTCTTGAGTGGTAGCCCTTTCAGTTCATGCATCAAGTCCATATTTGTTGGCAATTAGTCTTGCTGCTTTTGTGTTGCTATTTGCCGAGAGGGGAGGGGGAGGACTAACCTAGCCAGAGTTCATCATGTTTCCTGGCCTTGCTGGCAGCCTTGCTGCTACCTGTCCCTTTCCCTCTCTTGGTGGTACTGCTGCTGCTGCTGCTGCTGCTAGCACCTCCACCACCACTGCCAATGCTGGTGTTGCTGCTGTTACTCGTGGCTGATTTTGGAGTGCCTTGTGACACCTCGGGGCTGTTCTCACTGGCTGGGCGATACCTGCAGTGCAATAAATATGTTAATAGTGTCATAGATTCCGTAATCTGAAGCTACAGAAATTGTCTATATATGTGTTAAGCACAGGGCCAACCATTGTGGTCTAGGTCGGTTAAACTCTGGGATTTCAACACGTTTTTAAAAAACTATAACAAAAATACTATTTTTGTATCATTTTCCATCAGGATTGAAATTTGAGACACCTTAGATTTGACAAAGCAGCAGTTTGGAGTGACTATCTTGCTGAAACCACCTTCCTATCATAGGGTACCCGTCATGCTTCCACCACTACTGGAGGCTTTTGTGAATATATATAGTAATTATATTAAGTTCCTGGACTGAGTCCAACTTCATGGCTATGCTTTCTGTATGCCGAGAATTCCTGCTTTACTATAGCAGAAAATTCCACCCTTACAGTTAGACAATTTCACAGGATATCAAGAACTTTTGGCTTGTTCACATGCATACATTGGGTATTTAAAAACTGTGTGATAACTGGCATAGCGCAGAATTTCTAAGCTAGCACTGGAAGGACAGAATTGTAATCGCAAGTTCAGAATTCTGTGGTTACGACAGCTACAAAATGTGGCCTGGATGATGATACCCACCATATGATGTGGGTCTTGATCCATATGCCAGCCCTTCCCAGTGGGTTACTCTCATCATCTGTGTCTCGGTCATCCTCTGTCATGCTGCCAAACTGCTTGATAGACTGGTAGACGGTCATGTTGTAGGGCAGGGTCCGGTCATTGATGACAAACTCCAGCTTGTGCTTGATGTTCATGTTGGAGCTGGAGAAGGCTGCAGCCTACCAATGCAAAAAGATAAACACTATTGGATAAACAGATCCTCAAATCAGGCAACAAAGAATGACAGGACTGTGTTGTCAAAATCAACTTCTTACCTTTAGTATTCCAATGATACTTGTTAAGTGCCACTTAACTTGTTAAGTTCGCAACGTCAGGCCGCATTAATTTTTGAGATTTGTAAATTTCAGGTCAATCCAGTCAGAAAGCAGTTTGCAGCAGTCTTATTCATTTTCAAATTCCAATATTAATTATAATAGGCAGTTTGGGCCATGAACAAAATCAATCTGATACAAGTAATATGACGTACATATTTAAATATATCATAAGCCAAAAGTGTTGCAAACCCCTCCCTCTCCTTATAATATATAATCTGGGATTTAGGTAGAATGAAAACAAAATCTTACCAGTGATTCATCAATGTCATCATCTGATGCATCGTCGTCACTGTCCTCATCCTCCTGCAGTTAAAACAATGCAGCAATATACAGTCAATATTCAATCAACTACCAAGCTTAATGTATGACCAGATGAGGCCGTTGCCTTGCCTGCTTTGCGGGGTAGGGGGCTTCGCTGGTCAAGACCAGGATTGAGAGGCTCTACTCCGGGGTAGAAAATACAAAATACAAAATCTATAAAAGCAGAAAGCCTGATTAATGATTCTGAGACCCTCTAAGAAAATTGGAACAGCAACTACTGTTGCAAAAAACACTGACCGATGCTTAGTTTGATGGGGAAGAAAGGAATAATCGCACCCGGGACAAACCCAGCAACTTTCATGAAGCACGTACAATGGTAATGAAGCCTATTTCGAAAATTTGAAGGAGTAACTGACAGTCTGCAACATATACAAAAAACATGTGAATTCCCCACATGCAGACAACAAAGTGTACAGGACAATTTGACCGAAGTATTTTAAGCTAACAATCCAGGAAATGCAATAAATAAACACCAGCTGGCTTTTATAGCAAGATATTTCACATGTTTGAGTCAAGACAACAAATGGTAAACTAGTCACTTTCTGAGGCCAAATATACCCGTCATGTGTAACCGTTGATTTTGCAAACTGTTTGTCCACAACATTATTTTTTTTCTGTCCAAAACCCAAGGAGGACAGCTCAGTAGACAAGACAGTGCATAGAATTGTGTGTCTTCACACTTCCTAATGATCAGGAATCAATGAAATCACGTGATCTTCTTTGTTGTTAGCTGAAGAATGATGTGTGATGATGTAAAACAAATAGCAGGAAGGTTTCGAGTAGCAAAACTTTAACAGGGCGGCATAAAGTTTTAGCAAGGCAGCCCACCTGCCTAATAGTTTTAGCAAGGCAGCCCACCTGCCTAATACAACTCACGGAGAACACTTCACCAGCATTGTATAGTTGACATCCTTGTGATACAAGGAAAACCTTTGTCATGATTCATTTGAATAGCTTGTGAGTTGACGTGGGACTGAATGACTTGTGAATTGACTTTTGATTTAACTGTGTCCGGACTTGTAATGTGCTAGTGATCCACCAGAAATACCTAACTACAACACTGATGCAACCCTTACACCTAAATGATGAGTACCTTACACCCCTAATCATGTGTACTTTATATCCCAATCATAGGAACACTAAAGAAATACAACATGGGTGTCTTAAAACGTTTACATGAGTACCCCATGATCCATATCACCATGACATTTTACCCTTTGCGGTGCAATGGCACAAATGTGAATGGTAAATAAACAACTCAATTCTACTGACCTGTCTCAATCTACCATAGCCTCGGACAACCAGATACCTCTCAATGGCTTGAACTAAGGCTAGGGGGTCAATCTTGACAGGTCCACCCCTCCACTGTCGTAGAGTAGTGCATTCTGGGTGGCGCTGCAGCTGGCACTGCAACAAATGTGGTTAAGTATGGTATATTTAGATAGAAACTGCAGCCACACTCGAGGTGTGTTTGTCTGTTTTTGTGTCTTCTTAACCGTTCACGCACTAACCAGTGTGTGCATGAAACATCTTCACACACTGGGCCCCCTGAGTTAGACATACGGTGCCATCTACATTTCCTATACAGAGTCAATATTCTTTTTCTTTCTACATGGACACTAACTATCTCAATTCTACCCAATTGTAACACATTGCTTGCTAATATTCTGATGTATTCAGTGCTGCAGAACTCAGTACATCCACTATTATTTCACATCAAGATTGGTGTCCTGAGTTACAAAGAGTGTACCAGTGAGTTACTGCACAACATTTGAGTGTATATGCAAGGGTTCCTAATTAAAATGCCTATTGGGTTAGGGGTTATTTCACATCATTTCACTTCAGGCATGAAGTATTAGCTGCAAACCCTGGTACATATGACATCATTATCTGTATTAGCCTTAAATTCTCCCAAATCCTGAAAGATGTTTGAAGATTTTCGTGATTCAGGAAGGCAGATTTTAGCGACTGTTTTATACTTTACACAGGGGCTTCAGGTTCTTGGAAAGTTAAAAGTTTAACATCTGTCATTTGGAGGCTTCAGAAGATTCCTAAGAAAGTTGAAGGAAAAAAGCTACCTTTAACTGATGGGTGTTGAAGAACTTAAGGGCCTGTGAGCCCCGGGTCCCTGAGCTGCTGCCCCCAGGAAGGTCGTGAACTTTGACCGGGAACTGCTCCAGGTGGTTGATACAGCCATTGACTTTGCTGACAAGGGCCACAAAGGGAGGGGTAACCAGTTGGTCTACAGCCCGGATAGGTGCAGCATTTGGCAGCTAATGATGAAGAGGAGGGAGGTGGGTTAAACTGGTATCAAATTGGAACAAGCAAAATGGGTATGAATTGGAATGGAGTGCAGAGGATGAATTAAGGGATAGTTGACAAAGTGTGTTGTAGTGTCAGATTGAGGTGCAGGCCGGTGCATGCTGGGGGATGATCGGTAGGTTTCAAAAGAACACATCCCCATGTTTACCCTCTTAATGTACATAATTAATCCTGTGGCAGGAAAGCATACAACTCGCAAAAGTATGTTACAATACACAATAAGTATGTTGAGATGATAATGTCCATTTTGGTTGATGACACTCCCCCAAATTTTACAAATTTGTGGTCCATTTTTGCCCTGTCCCAGTGTTATCTGACACTATGATTTTATAATTCTGATGCACTCGTCATTGCAGTCATTCTCCAAGAGTGGTTATGAATAGCGAACTACCTATTCAACAAACAAAAATTGTTTGAGGTTATTCTTACTGATACTTGAATGGCAAATTACAAAGTATCAAAATTACAGGGACAGGAAAAATGTCACACTTAGGACCCAAAATGTATAGAATGACCCAGTAACAAAGCTATGGTACGTCACCCAGACCAATCCAAGCCAAAATTACTTCAGTTCAAATGAGTCATATAAATGTACATGCAGACATCACAGTGATTCTAGAAATCAGTAACATCTGTAATACGGTGAGGCTAAAAACTTGAAGTAAAATTTCCTATAGATTCATGCTGTCTCTAAACAGCATTTTTATTCTAAGTACAGAATAGAAACCAGTACCGGACAATGAAGAAAAACATGCAGGAATCGTTTGAGTCTGGTGTTGCGGTTTAAGACCTCCCTTCCACTGTTTGATGTCAGGAAGTTGAGCAGTCTGCTGACCAGGCCGCTGTGCAGTATTTCAAACGGCGACACATCGGAGTTGGTCAGGATGTTGGCAATGTCTTGCAGACAGTCAATTCCCTGCTCTTTCTACAGATTTGGGTTTTGGATAAATAGAACAACAACATTGTAATAACCAATGAGCAGACAAGATAATGTGTTTTACCAAAAGAAAATTGGACCGGGGGGGGGGGGGGGGGGGAGAGATTACGGTTTAAACAGAAAATACTCATGCCCGAATGAGCCAAAACCAGCAAAGGTTTGGGAACATACCATGTGAAGCTTTGAGAACTCAAGGGATTAAATCAGCTTTTTTTTTATCTTGATGCATTAAAGAAACTGCCTTAATTAAATTTTGGTATAAAAACTGTAATAACTTTTTGTCTTCATCTTTCTGCAATATCTTAATATAATTTTCTGCTGTTTCTTTACATGTGTACATTAATTTCTTATCTACATAATTTGTTTTATTTCCTTTTATCCTGCCAGCATGTTTAGTTTAATTTTCTTCCGTAGATCTCTTAAGATTCCAAAATATATCTTGGGTTATATTAAATGCTTATTTCCGTATTGTCAATAAAAATGGGCAGATTTCTTTCTTTATTTCTTTACTTACATTAAAGGAATGTGTGTTCATTGAATTAACATGTCACCATCAATGTCACTTGGATTGCAACAGGGAAGCGGATTCCATGACCCATTGCATTTTCAAAGTCAATCATTCAAATGATCTCTTACCTCCAGGAGTAGTTGGTCCACAGCCAGGCACAGCTTGTTCAGCATGCCCAGGGCTGGATGGCTGTCTCCCTGCATCTCCACTCCAAAGTACTGGTTAATAAATTTGTTGGCTGCAAGTGAGAGTGACAGAAACAAAAAATACATATTGTTATTTTGTGGCTGTGATACTGTGATTTAATGGAATGAACACGTGCTATAGTTCTTGCAATACTAAACATCCATGGCATCAGCTGTGAGGAGCTGTTGTGGAACCGTACATTGTTCACTACAGGGTGAGTTCAAAAGAAAGTGATCTGGATTAATTTTTAACCTTAAACAGCAAATTAAATCGACACACCAAAGAAGCATATTAAACGAGCATGTTCTTCCACTCATTTAAAACAAAAGGAATCACTGGAATTGATACATACAGAAGCATACAGAAGTTATGCATGTTTTACTACACGAGTCCATTTTTACAGCTGTTCATGGAATGCCCTTTGAAGCTAGATTACACACAGGCATTTAGATACAAATGAGATGCTTAATTTTTTTTTTGTAAAGACTGAAACCTTATTTTTCCTGTCGGATTTTTTTTGTATCTGAGGGAATTTTCAGAGATATCGATGATAATTTTAGTTTATTTTCCTGCGCAAATGTTCATTTATTCATGAAGAGGGGAGGCTTTCTTGTAGACAAAAGTCGCTCGTGTTAAGGAAAGGGTTAAGCTGCAAACACGTATTGAGTGCATGAGAAAAAAATTAAAAAAAAGTAAGGCACATTTTTGCTTTGACGTTTTTTTAAAGATAACGGTAGGAGGAGCAGAATCAGCCTGGCATCCTGGCCATCAAACACCAACCTTGCTCTTTGATCCACTGTTTGACCTTCTCTTTCTGGCTGCTGCTGCCACCACTGCTCCCAGCTGTGCCCAGGTGCACAGAGGCCCCAGACCCAATTCCCTGATGACTGTCCAGCCCAAAGGCTCTGGCATCAGCAGCTTGATGATAGTGATGATGATGGCCATGGTGTGAACCAGCTCTGTGCAGACCAGACTCCCGGGATGAGGAAGAGAAGGAGGATTTGTCCGAGGGTGGGGTGGAGCCTGAGGAGTTGGAATTGCCACTTGCTGGGGTGACACCATTGCCACTGCTGTTGGAGCGCCCCCAACGGGATGGATTGAGGGAGGAGAGGAATGACGAGCGCTGGCTGGCACCTGAATTTTTGCCTGGATGTCAAAGTTTCAAGAGAAACAGCTTTATCTAATTGAGCAATTATGACCATTCAAAGACATCAATAGCCAAGCTTTAGACCAATCCGGATACTTGAGACAATGCAAACTTAAGGTGGGCCACAGTAATGGCAGCAAAATTGGGCCAGCTATTTGGCCACATAACTGCTCCATGACCGTTACTCTGAACAATGGCTGATAATACTGCTGCTATAACTGGGACCACTGTAAGTGTACAGCGACTGCTCCTGGATCGGTCAATAGGGAAATCAAAATGTCACAAACTAAACTTTTGATTTTACCGAATCAATACTTGATTCTAAATTGAAGTCATTATTGTGGTGATATCACGCTCGTTTGGTTTTCCAAACAATTCGAAATGTATACGTTTCAGTTCCAGTTTACTTTGCCGTGATTGCTTGATCCAGCAAATGACATTGACATGCCACTGGGCAGGCCTTTTGGCCAAATCCGGAACGGTCAATTGTCATCAGTTTAGTCTATAGCTTGGATTGATGAAAAACGTGGACATGTAAAACAAAGTCTCCAATGTAAGATTTTTTTTTCTTACAAGAATTATTTTTCAAAATTTAAACCAATACATAACACAGATATAACTCTCAGTCAAAAATAATCGACATTATGGTCTTTCGTCTGTTTTGGAACTGCAAACAGGAATAAAAAAAAGAATGCAGCCACAACTTCTCTATGCTTTTTAAGGCCAGCCTGCACTTTGATATAAAGGTACAACATGGTTTTTGGGGAGTACGAAGTAGCCAAAAACACTGCTTACATGACTGACCCCTTTTACTGTGTATTACAAGGAAGGACTTGTACATACCAATAGCAGCTTTTCCCTTGGCTGCAGCCGAGGGTCGACCTGTGGGTGTGGACTTGCCAGCTCCAGTTACTGCCATGCTACTCAGCCTGGTATGGTGGGCCTCTAAGACATCAAATGGAGATGGTGATGTACTGCTATCATCGTTGCTTGCATACTTACTTTTGCGTCCCACTGTGCGCTTGGGTGGTCTCTTCCATTTCAGGACGTCACTTAGTCTTCTGTAAATAACATAAATATTTTTTAATAGATACATGTAGAACAAATAGATTAAAAAAAACCACAAAACAAACTTAAAACCACACAAAACTCGAACAAACAACAACAATGTACGATTACTCAGTATGAAAAACAGAATAAGTCATTGAAAGTAATTTACAGATTGTCAGTCAAATTTATTACTGACAACTGTGTCATAACTGCACAATAGCAGTAGTTAGTGCTGGTAATGTAAATATTTCAGTCCACAATACCCTTGTGGTGGTGTGTCAAAGTCAGCCCCCACATCGGCACTGCCCAGGTCTCTGCCCTGGGATGCCTCTCTGGATGTGCTGGGGGTACTAGTCTTGGGCTTGAGGGGTGGTGAAGAGTCTGCCTCGATGGGGGACTCAGCTAGAAGCTTGACCTGATGCATGACCCCTGAGTTCAAAATGAAAAGATGAAAATGAAAGGATGTATTGACTAAAACCAAGGTGAGGCGTGGTTGAGCTTTGACACCTTACATGGAGGAGAATACACTTAGAGAAGTGTGGCCCTGAGAAGAATTAGAGGCATTCAATTGATGAGTCAGTCAGTGTATTCTGACTGTCATCAGTTAAAATGGTTACTGAAGGGTTGAGTATCAAAATCAACATATTATTAATAATATAGATTATATAACCAACATTCAGATCCTTGTCGTTTGATTGGTGGAACTCACATCACGTGACATTCGTTATTACTCCCATTCACGCCAGGGCTCAAAAAGTCCCATTCGCCCATGGGGAATGGGAAATACTACTGAACAGTTAGGATCGATGCTTGTTCCATGATGCAGTATTTGTGTGCAAATGCATGCTGGTGTGTGCTTTCAGCATTGCGGGTAGCGCGTATTGTTCCAAAGAGCCAGCGCTACAGAGTTGGGTTCAAACATTTTTGCGAAGGGGTAGTTGGAAGAGAGGAACACATTTTCCACCAATTTTGTATTGAAATAAAAGATCAAGTATATCAAATGACAAGGATCTATATGTCAATAATATAAAACAAATATTGAGTGGCTTTAAATTGTGAAATCTGGACTTTTCCAGTTCACTATGGGAAAAGTCCAGATTTTACCTTGCGATAATATTCCTTCCATTTCACTCAGAGCCACTCAATATTTGTATAATATTATTATTATGAGGCTTCGCACTGTCTAAATAGGCAGAACTATTGCAGACACACACTACAGTGTATGTGAAGAGACTAACTCTGAAAGACAGCTGTGGTTATGGAAAGAACCACACGCATTAACCTCAACAGTTTGGGCAGTCTGCTTATGACTTGTCATTTCCAGTTCCATTCATAATTAGCATCCAATCTGTGTCTAGGACATACCTTCCCGTCTGAAGTAAACATGGAAGATCTCGGGCAGTTTCTGCATCAGTATCTCTGCCATCTGCAGAGCTCCAACTACAACCTTATAATCCTGCGATGACATCATGGCTGCTATGTGACTATAACACACAAAAAGATCAACATAAATGTAGAAAAACTATATCAAATTATAACTAGACATGTGTTTGGCACGCAACAGGATTGTTTCAGCTTTCTTTTTTCTTGTATGCATGTTTAACTGCACATATGATAATGAAAAATGACAAGTTTCAACCAAAGTGGACCTACATGTACAAATATGCTTTAGATAGAGACCTTTCAGGGGACATGTGACATGTGACGACAACATTGTGACATCACTTCATTTTTTATCTATAATACATCCCGGTCTTGGCACATACAAAGTTACAACCACATCGGACCTATCGTTCTATAGATAGAGGCCTTAGAAAAATGCACCTTTAATGTGACGCCACATGATGTGCTGACTTTATCATGATGTCACTTTTTATTTTATAGTACATCCTGGTCTAGGTACATACCACGCTACAACCAAATCTAGCCTATAGTTCTTTGGATACAGGTCTTAGAATAATGCCCCTTTTATGTGACGTCACATGAGATGTGATGACGTCATTATGACATCACTTCAATTTCGATCTACAACACATCACGATCTAGGTACATACCAAGTTATAACCAAATTGGACATACAATTTTGAAGATAGAGGCATTTGAATATGCAACCTTTAATGTGATGTCACATGACGTGATGAGGTCATTATGACGTCACTTCCACTTTCATCTATAACACATCCGGGTCTAGGTACATACCACGCTCTACATAACCAAATCTAGCCTATAGTTCTATAGATACAGGCCTTAGAAAAATGCACATCTAATGTGATGTCACACGACACCTGATGATGTCATCATGACAGGTGTTCAGCACACAACTACAGCAGTTAGGTGATGTACCTGCCAAGTTTAAAGTCAATCAGAATCATGAAATTGCCTTAAGTGCTGGGAATATAGAAACGATAACAAAGGCTATGGACAGGAGTCTGGAGAAAAAAACAACAATATCTTGTTCCATTGGGCCCCTGGCTTGAAAAGGATTGACAAGACTGCAATTTAAATCGGACTTTCCATTGTCCAGAGTGAAACAAATGCATAGATAATTAAAAGTGAAAGGTGGAAACAACATGTAGAAACAACCAAGCTAAAAAGTGTGAAACATCAACCCCAAAATTTGCATCACATTTATTGTAAGATTTACCTGGATACGGCATGATTCTTTAAAATATCTTGGAGCAGGTCAGCCTCAGCAAAGTACACCATTCTCAGAATGGCCTTCAAGCATTTATGCCTCACAGCTGGCCCCGCCTAATTAAGGGGGAAAAACAAAGCAAAAAAGAAAGGAAAGTTGCCTTATTCTTATTCAATACTGTGTGTGTAAAAAGCCAACTTCAACATTTGCTATTATCAAAAATGTTCATGTCAAAACCTGAATTTGCTTTTTGTTTTATAGTTGTTTGTTAAATAATGTTAAAAGCACTATGTGTTGAGTGGTCTGAGGCACAAAAATCACTCAAACCAAGAGAACCTTATGAGGTAGCCTTTGCAACTGAGTTATTGTTATGTTGTTGTGTCATGGAATATGCATTAGCAGCTGTCCAGAATGCGGCAACCACATTGCTTGAAAAGACCATGATTTGAGGGAACGACAGCAGCCATACTGGTGGGAATGCATAAAGCACCAGGATGACCACATTGATTGAAGGGGCATCAATGATTACACTCTAGTGGGCAGGAAGCATGGAGGTTTGTAAATATGAATTCGGACGTAAAAAGGATGGCAAACTTTGGCTCAACACTTGTATTTCTTAATTAAAGGTACTTAATTTGCCTAGAATAAAAAAACTGAAGTATCTTATTAAACCTGGCTCCTATTTTTTACAACAACAAAGTACATGTATCAAACCAATTGACTTTGCGATGTGCCCATTCCATTTTGGCACCAAATGTTCTAGTGAAGGGCTTTTCTCCAATGTACTTTTGACAGCAATTCGCTGCAGTGCAAATTTCACTCTGTTGGCCATAAAGGTGAATGGTTAGAATGTTGGTTAGAACTTAAATAGCTTTCTTTCCCGTCTTGCCACCATCCACTATTTTGTACAGGCAAGATATTTTTTTTTAAATGTACACAACACACAAATTGATGTACATTGTATTTGAACACTAGGATGACCATTTGAGTGTGGAGGTGTTTTTATGGATCACGCACTGAGCATGGATGGTGCAACTATTTTTAGCAAATCTTTTGTGCATTAGCATTCAATTGAAGGTAGACAGAGGCGAGTCTTTTTGGGTAATGGAAAGGGGTTAATACTTGGTTCTTTCTTCAGACATACCGATGAGCTGTAGACTTCATATAGCACTGCAAAGAGTGCCTTGATAAACAGCGCGGCTAGGTCAGGATCTTCCTTCAGGAGGGTTGCCCGGGCATCCTCATTTGGGGTAGAGTTGGCTGCTGGCACAAAATATGACAGGAAAACAATCACAACAAGATGCTATCAAATATTGACTGAAATGGGAATCCAACCTGCAACCTCTGGAATGCTGAAACAGTGCTCTACCAACTGAGCTACTTAGAGGTAACCAAGTTGGCTGGGGGGGGGATGATGCCATGGTTTTGAAAGAATTCTAATGTCACAAAATAGTAGCGAAACTGACTGCAAAGGAAATTTGAACAAGCAAACCCCAGAATACTGTACCAGCACTCTACATGTGGCAACTGAGACACCCCAATGTGATATAATCTGCAAAATCCTTCACATGGTGAGTATTTTCATTCGTCTTAATTCTATGAAAAAGACTAAAGTGGGGGCTAGTAATTATTTATGGATATCATTTCACTGACCACTTTAATTTTTCTGTGTCCAACCAGGCCAGAAAAACAAGAACAATTGCCGCAGAGTGCATCATGTATGTGACCGGCTCCACAAAAAAAGGGTGTTAAGTCGCTCTGAGCATTATTGCATATTGGCCCGCTCAACATTGAGAGGGTGTAAATTTCGTCAAAATATGATTTTCATTTTTTTCATGAACGACATCTTTAATACATACAGTTTCAGGTTTCATTCACAGAAATGTTGATTTTGATGAACAAAGTGCAAAAACCAACCATTTTGTGTGCATCGTTCTGTTGTTCTACAACAAAGCCAGCTATTTCAAAGCCCATTTTCTCAGTTGTGTAATTAGAACTACAAGAAAGTAATTAATATGCAAATCCGTCATATACCAAATGAAAGCTTACATTGTGGGCTTTCCAACCATAACTCAATTTCACTTTTTTTGCCACATAATACCCTTTTTTGTGGAGCCGGTCACATATGAGCTGCACCAGGTTAGAACCTGACCATTCTGTCACAGTATCAAATATTGTCAGATTTTGCTCTTTTGTTATTCTCTAAATGATTTTTATAATCACATATTTCGGACTAATTGGTAAGGATGAAATGTAATTCTTATTCACTGAGAATTTCCTTTTCTGCCATGAGCATCACATCATTATGTTGAAGGTCTCTCCTGTGTATTTGTGTCCTCAACCAAAATCAGCTACAGCTCCCACTAGAGTTGACTTGTAATGAGCATAGCTAAGTGCTTGAAAGGCAGGCTTTTACCTGCCGAGGAGGCAGAGCAGGCTGGGTTGGGCTGTCTCTGGACAGGCCTGGCTGTGCCTGTGTCCTCATTGATCTGCTGCATGGCATTGAAATCAATGGTGTAGGTACGTCCCATAGTAGACAGGCAGACTTCATCTTCACCTGCCTGGTGGGCAGCCTGGAAGAAAACAAGGAGGAATGTACATGGCCTAGGAAAACAAACTATACTGCAATATTACACATATGAATGCAAACCAATCAGTGATACTATGTTTGTTCCTTTACTTGTCAGTGGTATTGGAGATTGTTTAAACCCAATACCTCAGGCATTTTGCTAGGAATCCGAATAACCCATTCTCTTAGTAGCTGGCTCTAAATGTTTCTGTCCTGAAAATTATCCTAACCTCCTGGTGATTTTTTGTAGATTCTTGGATTCTTGGGGTAGCAAGGGTCAAATTCTCAGGTGCCTTTTTAAAGATGCACTTTGCCAAACTAAAATTGACAGCTTTGAAGTAAGCTCATGTATGAACAAGCTTTTAAGTTTATCACCTTAGAAATGTTGAGTGCAACATTCTGCAATGTGCCAATATGGACAAATTACCTCAATGATCCTATTGTCGATGCGTGTGTAGCTATGCCACATGCCCCTGTCATCTCTCCACTGCCAGATGGCAGAGTCTGGTACCTGATGGTTACCTTTCCTTATCATAGTGTTGATGGAGAAGATCCCGTCGCTGGGCAGCTTGGGCATCAGTTCCCTTTGAACAAAACAATGGACAGATTGGAACTCGGCTTGCGTGGCCTTATGATTTGGAATATGACTTGTGCTCTTGGAACTCAGTCTTTGTGGGACCTATCCTCACTTCACATATCCTGGATTAGTTGCAGACAAGTCTATCTGCAATAGACTCATTGTATTCCTAGCATCTTCCTGTAATGATGTGATCAGTCTCTACACAATGCTCAACACTTCATTGTGGGAAGATTCTAGTCAAGTTGTTCACAATCCAGCAATCAATAGGGACCTGGTGCTAATGACGCACTGTTAACCAGGCAGTTTAGCTTTGAATCTGCCAGAACTTGTTTTCCCTTCAAATCCTCAGGGACAAAGGCAAACAATGTGCACGTATGAATTTTGATATTGCTCACCCGATTAATGATGTGATTTCATACAGCTCCTGGGGACTTCTAGGAACCAGCTGATGGAAGACAAAAAAACAAGCAAGTTAAGCACCATGTTATACACACAAGTTAGTGTATAAAGCTCTTCCAATGCACTGATTCTCTCTCCTTCTTCATTACTGGACACAGACAGGTTACAGTTGAGTGTTTTACTTATGTTCATGGCACGACTCATGACATTCAGTTATGCATGTACCTCAATTTCTTGGCTTGCTTGTTCTGAGGAGCCCATCAAGAGGTAGCTAATTGTTTCTGCAATATCTGGACAAACACAAGAGTGAAAACAAAGAACTTGTGAGTGGAAACAGGTCAATTCCTACGTTCAGCACCAGTGACAATTCAACCACATGGCTGCAACATTCAGTTTTAGATGGCCATAAACTCACATTTCACCATCATTCCAAAAGGACTTACTTTGTTTAAGAAGCTGTACAGCTATCCCTGGGCAGCTTGAGCACATGAGAGACAGCATGCGGATGACCATGATAAATGTACCAGTGCTGACTATCGGTGGGCTCACAACAAGCTGAAACCAAACAAACCTTATCACTTTTAATACAATGTTTGCATTTAGGGAATTTTAAATTTAATGTGAGCTTGTCATCTTGATCAACATCCAAGAGCTGGGTGAACAAAAAATTACCAACTACTCAAGTGGCATATGAATCATTGACATCCTGCTTACAAGCGGAGAATGTCTGGTCACACAACCATCCAGCTTGTAGGGGTGGGTTATTAGAATAAATTACCTTCTTGTAGGGCAAAGGGCCGAAGACAATTTCTTTCAGTGGTTTCCTTGTACTCTACAATACACAGTTTTACCACAACTATGGTATATGTTGTTGTTGATGGAATGCTCCGTTACTAATACTGTTAAATGCAACAACACAACGCTGCCACCACTACACTACCACAAGAAATTACTACAAATTCAATTATTAATAACAATTACATTACAACAAAATAGTTATTTGTTCTACTTTACACTTTTAAACAAATATACCTGCAACTTGACTTAATAAAAGCCCACAACCACTGTGCAAACAGAGGACAGAGGGAGAAGACAAAACAAGAACAGCAACGAGTCACTGAATACTGTGACTCAAGTTATTCTAAGGACTGAAGTCAAGTTGCGTCATTAGGTCAAGTCCAGTCGAGTTAGTGTGTGGTTGAGTCAGATTGAGTCAAGTCAAATGTATGCTCGAGTCAATTTGAGTAACTACTATTTGAACACCATCTAATACATGACAGAATAGAAGAAGGAACACAAGGCACCAGTTTAATATGAAGATCCAAAGACTTAAAATATGCTGCATGGTACCCGATAGACAGTTTAAGCTGGACGTTTCTACCAAAGATCTACATGTATGTAACAGTTAACAACAGGTGATATTTCCCTTTTATTGCTGGTTTGGCTTCGGGTCTGGAATAAGTTTTACGCTGACATCAAAAACAAATTGCAACACATGAACTGTTTCTGATTATCTATAGAAATATATCAAATTATTTTTTGAAAGCAAGACATAAATTTTGCTGAGTTCCATCAAGGGCTTAAGACATCACCTGAAGCCGATGATGAAACCGAGAATTGGGAAATGCATTTAAAGTCTGGTGGACAGGCGGGAGTATGTGATACAGCATACATTTGTATGTGATAAACGGCCAGTAACGCGAACATAAATAACTGAGTACCATAAGTCACCGCAAATATATTTTCGCATAGTTTTAGGACTTAAGTGTCATTAGCCTTTGACTCGAGACTCATCTGATGATGGACCCGAGATGAGTCGAGTCACCATAAATTGTGACTCAAGTCAGTCTTCAGTCGAGTCATTGACTCGAGTCATTACAACTCTGAACAAACAGCCACTCAAGTTTTACACCAAAAAACAAACTATTAAGAATTAAATAAAATGCCCAGTAAGCTAAATAATGATTGTAACCATGATTTAGGAAGGGATTATAATTGGTACTGTACTTAGAATCCACAATGCAGTTTCAGAATGTCTTGAAGTTATCAATGAATGGTTTCCTACCAGCTGTTGTAGGTTGGTCAGTAGGCCATGGGAGGCTATCTGCTGCAGACGCTTGTCATCATGCTGAAAGTTGTCCACCAGACGAGCAAAGCACAGGCAGCAACTCTCCACAGATTTCTTGTCCTGATATCAAGAAAAGTCATCCACAGAACTTCCATTACAAATGATATCAAAAACTAGTAAACTTTGCTCTGGGTCAAGATAAACCCTTGTTTTTAACAATGCAAGTAATATCTTACTGTTAAAAAGATATGCAATCTAAATTTAACCAAAAGGAATGGAAGCAGGTATGTTAAATCAAACTGGCTGCTATAGTAACTTGACAAGATCACATTTAAGAGAGATCCTCAATGCAAAATAAGGAGAAAATAACCCAATCAGGGTTCCTAATGAAATCGTAAAATGAAATTCCAAGACTTTTCCATGACTCTTGCAGAAAAAAATTAGGGCTTTCCGTGACCAATTTCTTCCCCCGTTTTGGCATCTTAGGACCCTACTTACAACACACTGGCCAGTTATCATGCTGAAAATAAAGATCTATGCAATGTGCATTACCATCAACAAGCTGACCTCCACCTTCCTTCACAGCCATTTTGGTCCTCCGACTGTTTCATGTTAAACTTACATGCCACTAAACACTTATCAGGCATAACGTTCATGGTACTACACAGCTCTGAACACCACTATAACTTTAGAAACTGCATATACATATACTTGTATGCACTAAATGCAACTAGAACTGACAAAGTGGGAGTATTAAGCTTTTCCAGCTGTTGATTTCTGGCGGCTACACCATTGGTAGAATATACTGGTATTGGAGGCTGTATGCACTGCCTATTGACCTTTGTTTATGTAAATGCGGATCAATTCCATTGTAACTGTTACCTGATGCTGGAGTCTACCAGTCAGCAGGATCAGAGATTCCACCACTAGATTGAACTCATCACTCCCGATGCTCTGACAACAGTTAGCAGCGACTGCCAGGGCATTGCGCTGGGCAGCAATGGAGAAGAACTCAATGTACAGCAGGCATGAGGCCAGACCACCCTACACAAATTCAATGTCACACAACCATTGGTCAAGATTAATTTGTACAGCATCTACACAATTGCAACTGAACAATTCCATAAGAATGTGGACACGGCTGAAATGTTAAAATTTTTTGAAATCTTCACAACTGCAAGCACCATAACCTCAAATGTGGTATCAAATTAAAGGGGACAAAAAATTCTTTCATTAGAGTGGTGTGCCAGTGAAGTACATGTATAGTGTATTTTTTGGTGGACTGTAGGTAGTCACTTTGGCAACTTGTATTTACATGCAAAATGCAAGTGTTGTTGTGAGATTTCTTTTTAAGGCAGAGAGAAAGGTTCATATGTTATGCCAAAAGAGGTTCTTGTCATTTTTTGCTCTGGGGTGATGTAAATCAATATTAGGTTTTGTCCTTCACTGACGTATAAACACTGTATACTCAGTGTGTTACCTCCCGAGTGACAGTTGAAAAAAACATGTACATGTAGCAGTTTCTTATATATATGTTTTAACTTGTACCAAAGATGGGCGGACAAACTGTAACGTGAGTCACCGTAACATTAATTATTTTGTTGGTTTCTTTTTGCGAAGTTATAAAGTCGATTTAACTTCAAGGGATCTTTACTGTGAACAATCCACTATAATTGCTTTGACTTGATAGAATAACAGCACAGACTACAGAGTTGACAGAAGACCCCCTTAAAATGTAACCCGATTCACCATGGAATTGCCCACCTTCGTTTGAGTTTTTAAGAATCATGAGACAATTGTCTGTAAAGAATTGTTGTGGGCAACTACCCCCTAAACAGTGAAAATGAGAGCAGTGTGAAGGACCATGTGAATCTCATATTGCCTGTGACAAAGCAGGGGTGAGGGCAGGGCAGGGGAGTACAGACTACATCAATCTGCATTGATCATAGAGAGAATAGTTGAAATACTCAGCACAGACCCTTTGTCTCCAGACTGGAGACCCAAGAAATGGTGGAGGCATTGTTCCAACTACTGTACACAGCAACTGCGCCATGATAGTCATTTTGATCACTACCTTGCACAATTGTTCTACCTTTATTGGGGGTCTCTGTGAGTGTATAGGGATTTGCATCCAGATTGATCCATGCATACATTGTGCTAACAAAGCACAGCGTGTGCCAACCCTCCTACAGAGGGAGCCTCTGATGCTCATGCACAGAGTCCACAGTCCTTCAATCTTGGTCATCACTCTCCCTTTTAAACCATGATTTGTGGCAGACCTTGATGCCCCTTGAGGGAGGTCAGAAGTTTTCATCAGTTATTACACAGTTCAGAGGGCAAAATACTCAGGCATTTAGGGTTCAGTCAACTGGCAAAACTCACAGCTTGCACAATGGCCTTGCTGTGTCTTCTGGACAGCATTTCTAGTGCAGTCAGAGACTGCTCCGCAACATCCATGCACTGAATCACTTGTAACTGCAACAAAAAGGAAATGATAATCAGTTGAAATGTAAAGATGACTGAATAACTGCAGCAATGGGAACTATAAGAGATAATGGGAACTATTTAAGATCAAAATGCTTTATATTATTCTTTATCCTTAAATCACTTCTTTGAACATTTCAGCTCCCTCAGGAGTAAACAGTTCAGTGCTGCTAATTTGGTGCAAACACTAGAACCATATTTTCCATCAAAGGTGATCCTGTTATTCCTGGGCAGGAAGAAACATCTGTTGGGGAAAAAACTGACCTTTTCTAAGAAAACAGGAATGGCATCCATTACAACAGTGGAGGACCTAGGCAGGGCCTCCATCATGTAGGTGAGTGCTCGGCAAGCATGGTTCATCTGAAACAGAAATATTGGAACAAATACTAACAACCTTTTGACAGACTACTTGGCTCTATTCTCAAGAGCGCATGATCAAAACCCTGCTGGTGTCTGTGGTTCAAGGGTAAGCTGAAAGGGAGGCCATACTTGCAAGCTGTAGCTACTTGAATTGGTTCTTGTGTAAAAGCTCAGTAACTATCACAGATGATAGAGTAGAACCTTGCTATAACGAACACGATGGGGTCCATAAAATGATTGTTTGGTATAGCAGTCATTTGGCATAGCAATTTTCGGTTGCCAGCATGCCACTTGGATTTGCCAAGATGCTGTCCTTACACATGTACAAGAAGAATTCAAGCCACATACATGTAAATAGGCCTATAACTAACACGACCAGTTTCAACACGCATGGACAGTCCAGACCATGTGCATGTACCAGCGGCAGCCTTTTCAAAAATCAAGGCGCACTACAGTTGCAAATACGAGCATTACAACTCATAAATACCAAAACATGGTGAAATTCACAAACAAAAAACAAGAATATATTTTGTGAATAAATTCACCAAATTTTTCATTTTAGATTGATGTTTGTTTGTAATTATTACGTTTTAGCGAACAGTGGATTTGTTTCCTAAGTTGATCTAGTATTGCACACTGGTTCCCTATCCTTCCCTTATCCTTCTTACTATCGTCTTTATAGCAGCATGGTAGGAATGGTGGAGAACAGATTTGTTTCATAAAATTAATTTTCTTTTTAACATCCAAACAAGGTCAAGAGACAAATGAACCATATGTATGCATTTCCCAAAGAGCCAAAGGAGACATTTGTTATAGCAGAATGTTCGTTACAGCAGTGTTCCACAGAGCAGCATGTTACTGTAGTAATAACATAATGAGGTCTTTGCTGTTTGCACGGCAAGCCCCACTTTTGTTTCAAATTATGTCTCAATAGGGTAACTGCTCATAATCTTGTACAGCTTTGTATAGCTATTTAAATATCTACGTTTATATTGGAAACCGATACATACAAAATTGACAATAGGCAATCAGTCAGAACATTTCATATTGCTCTGAGCGAATGCACAGTTGTTTTTCATATACTTATAAAACCATGTCTATGGAGCTGAGTTTGCTGTACTATGGCATTGCACTTTATACAATCTATACATTCATTCAATGTGTCTGTGCCCAGGACGCAGGGGTTAAGTGCTCTAACACTTTAACATAGCTCTTTGGTCTATACCAAACAGTATTTGTTTGGATCTGACAATGTCCTTAACAGTGGAGTTCTCCTGCAATTCACTCACAATGTCAAAGTTGTGCTCCATGGCCAGTAGTGTGGTAAGTGCAGGCACCACCTGCTTGACGGGGAACCCGCCTAGTGTGTCCTCATTGCCCATGACCAGTAGCTGACACATCTCAATGACGGCTTGCAGCTGCTGGCTCTCATCTCCACTGGCTTGCAGGCCGGTCAAGAGCTGGTGGGCTCTGCTACCTGTGAAAATGGGAACAAAGGCATCTTGACTACTGAACATGGGCAACTCAGCTGCTACCTGTACCAGCTACATCCAATCACTGCAGAAATTGGACATAAAAAGTGCTTGGGCAAAATGAACTAACCAATCACTTTGCAGCTGTCACAAGCACAGTGACAACTTCTTTAGAGTTTAACCATATGGCAAATGGCAACAAAATGTCAGATGTACAACTGAAGTTACAGCCTCTGTAATTGGTCACTTTTTTTCCCAGAAATAGTTTCTAAAATTACCAGTCTAGACCACCTCCCCCATTGGCAAATTGAGTCAACTACAACTCAAATCACATGACAAGTCACAAGTAAAAAGAAATGAACAATCATAAAGTAATGTCACATTTCTTTTGAAAAGTTTATTACTTAACACAAACCTTCATCAATCCTTAAAACATGTCTCACTTTACAGTAAGTAAATTGCACATTCTCTGTGCTTAAAGTTTCAAAAAACATCAAGCACCAAGTTAAGTGACTAAGCTATAGCTACCTCAATCTTGCAAAAAGCCTCCAAATTCTCCCGGTGCACTTTTGAAGGACATAGGAGAGTTAGGATTTTATCAGTCAATAAGCTGCTCCCACTTTTTCGCAGAAAAATTGCGCTGATCCTACACGCATTTGACCACTTAAAAAGGATGTTGTGCCACTATTTGACTAATAACTTTAAAATGTGACTATGTTTAACTTTTAGGGGATAATACACGCATCCCCACATCCTAGCAAATGCCCAGACTTGCTCCACATGCCCTGGTATGAGCATGATTGGTGGTTATTGTTTGCTCAGCTGACTTTTCTCATTTCCTAGGTATCAATAAGAAGGTGACTTACTAGCTCCGGTACCCATGCTTCTGTGTAGCAGCTGGTGCATACGAGGTCCCAGAGCATTGAACAGGTGTGGCGGCAGGCCCCTTGCTTCTAACAAGGCTACACAAGGGTCAAAGGGTAGAGTAAAAAAAGGGTTAAGACTTCAAACTTTCAAGCGATTTTGAGAGTGGAATTCAGCGACAAAGCTGATATTAATCAAATAAGGTTTTTGCCCTTCACCAACGTTTATACATATACTCAGTGTGTTACCTCCCGAGTGAAAGATGGAAAAAATCACTCAGGTGGGACTCGAACCCACGACCTCCTGCTTTCTAGTGCAGACATCTTACCACTCGACCACCGAGCTAACGGTATCAGTTCCCGTTAGCTCGGTGGTCAAGTGGTAAGACGTCTGCACTAGAAAGCAGGAGGTCGTGGGTTTGAGTCCCACCCGAGTGATTTTTTCCAACTTTCACTCGGGAGGTAACACACCGAGTATACAGTGTTTAAACATCCGTGAAGGGCAAAAACCTAATTTGATTTATATCACCCCGACGCAAAATACCATCTTATAAAAAGCTGATATTGGTGTTAAGATCAAAGGTGAAGAATTCCATGCTCACAAAGAATACTCCTTTCTGACCAACATGGTTCAAAGCTACAACTAAGGGTGCTATTAACTATTGATTTTGCAAAAGGTAAAAGGTTACTGTTTAAAGGCATATAGGATATTTGCTTTTCATGCATGTTGTTCATTTCCAATAATAACACCGCTCAAAATCCAAAGCAGAATGTTCAAAACCTAACCTACGGTATTGAATGTTCTGCTCAGTGGGTAGTTTTCAAGAATTCAGTTAGAAACCATGCACAACCTCATGATCACCAAACAGGATTCCGTTAATAGATCTCTCTATTTCCAACGATCAGTCAATTGACTAATATTGACTAATACATATGTAGGCTAGTGCATGAAATTTGTGTCAGCCTGAACTAGACGCGCGTCAAGACACCACGCATGCGTAATTTCCAGAGTAGATCGGGCACTATACTCAACAACAAAAAATTGACTGGTTACAGTGCCCTCTCAAAAACTCAAACTCAAAACTGAATCCAGGGAAACTTAAATCATTCCTTTAATTATTGAATTGCTTATATTTGAATTGCTTAGACATGTTAGAGTTCATAATTCAATTAAAACAGTTCAATTATAAAACCCTGAGAAGTTTCTTTTCTTATTTAATATTTTGGATAGAGGTGTGTTATAAAACACATATGAACTGGCATAATTCGGTCACTAGTGCATGTCTATGCCCCCCTTGGGCCTGTGAGTGACCAGAAGAGGGTTCTATTTCCCAAGGCTGAGGACCCTCTTCTGATCACTCACAATCCTTTGGGGCGCATGGACGTGCACTAGTGACCTCACTGCCAGTCTATATGTGTATAATATTGGTAAACACCTGGGAACTGCTGCTGCCATGCTCCTGTGCTTAGGGACAATTGTCTGATACAACAGGTTTCTGCACATCGCAGTGGAAAATTGGTTATGAGTGCTATGCTATTTGTATTTAAAAACTAGTAGATCAGGCCACACAGTACCATATGAAAGTTCCCAAAGAGTTCATAAAATGTGATGCAATGGTAACAAAAATGTACACCGAAATGTGTCAGAAAACAAAAGCTGGAGTTTTCCACAGACATACCTTGAAGTCTGCCCACTTCAGAATCATCAGACTCACCCTCCCCTCCAAGGGCCAAGGCTGGAGCTCCTCCCCCTGAGCCTGAAGCTGAGGCAGGAAAAACCAAGTCCAATCAATGCATTAAATCTGGGGCCAAAGTTAGGACTCGTCAAGTACCATAACTAACACAGAACATTCTGCACTACTAGCATACTTCACAGGTTAGCTTTTTTGGGCTTGCTCACAGGCATGAATCGTATAGCTAAGTATTCTATGCTTACAGGGGTTCACACGGAATTTCTGTTCAAGAACTATAAACACAGAATGCTTACAATAAGCTGAACATTCCTAGGTAAGTAGAGCCATCAAATGGGGCACAGTTTAATGTTTTAATACCATCCATGAAATAAAATGAATACTCAACCCAGTTTATCCCCAAGTCTTGATGGACAACCTGATAAAACTACTTGGCTCTTTAGGCATTGGTCATTGATAATTGTTTGGAAGTCAACCAGACAAGACTATACTCTCCACACGAAGAGCATACATGAAGGAGGTTGTAAAACCTGATCAGCAAAGACTCTGCAATGGGTAACTTGGAATGGGTAACTTGGAAAGTGTTTATTTGCTTCTCAATGGACTGATTACTGTGGCATTTTTCTTTTTGCTGCTAAAGCCAGTTTTGATGTCCATGTGATAAACATTGCTCACTCCTCTTAAGAAAATTATTAAAGTTCTTGGTTGAACACGAGTTAAAGAACATATGTAAGCTGGAGTCCAGGGTCAAGTCTGGGCTGGAGCCAGAGCTCAAGACAGCAAATATTTTCCTACTTAGGAATTAGATGTCCTTCATTTTTTTTCTTTTGTTTTATAGCTTAAAACTTGAATCCAAAGCTTACTATAAGCATTGGAAATAAATAGAATATAAGTGATTCATAAGGATCCATTTGTCATATCAAAATTAAATCCATTCACTTCATAGTGACTCACAACTCAAATAAAAAATGTTTCCTGCACCCTAAACCCAGAAATCTTACATCCATGTACACATGCACAAGGCACATATCGACGATGTTTTCACAAAGTGACAAAAAACCTCAATACCCTGCAAAAAGGTCATCCCGAGATAATCGCATTTGGAGTTAATACTTTTTTCAAAACACATTTTTGACTAGTTCATAGTTATAGATTTGGGAATTTTTTGCATTGTCAAGTAACGTTTACTTTGTTCTTTGCTAATTCAAAGTTGTTTGTTTATAGTCTCTCTTAATTAAACAGTAATTCTTTAATAAAGATATTCTTCACTTCGTGAAAACAGCAAAACGCAGAGGCTGCACTATTTTTCCCACTACGTTGTACAAACATTGTGAAGAAAAAATAAAAGTTCTTAGAAATTGCTACATTTGCGTGTCATACAACACTGCAGCGCACGCACGTCTGTTCTTTATCGACATCGTTCGCGGAGTGCGCACCCAATCCCATCCTAACGCGTGTGTACAGAAATGAATTATCCCTCTGGCCCTGATAACGAGGTCAGTTGTTGTTACTTCATGAAAACAGAAAAACACGGAGATCAGGCTTTTTGTCAAATGTTTGTTTACAATAATTACAAAAGTAAACAATATTTCGCTTTGAAACTTGGTTAATTTCTTCTTTTTGTGAAGTGCAATAAATTGGCCAGCAAAACTCAAAATTGAAAAGTTTTCTATTTTCCTGGTTTTTGTCATTTCGTGAAATCATCGATGTGATAAATGTAACCTGAAAGTTCAACGTTTGTGAACAGACAAGAGTGGACAGGGTTCCAACGCTCCTCTACCTCCCTTCATATTTCTACTACTCTAATCATTGGCATTTCTGAAAAAATCAGTTTTCTTCTCTGTGTCAGAAAGATGGAATATTAGCGATGTAAACTAAACGAAAAAAATTCCATCAAAAACTCAGTTACTAGAGTACCTGTGCTACATCAGATTTGAATTGCCTAGCTAAAATAAGTAGGCTTGGTTGTGGTTGAGGATACTAATAGACTCTGTGTACAAACACACCGAGCGGAGTTAAGAGGAACTTGAAAGCATTATCACCATACACCTAGCAATAACGTGAAGACAATAATGGGTTTGTGTGAATTCAAAATATAATCGATCACAGTGAGCCAAACATAAACAAACCAGTTTGCACATGCAATCTGTCTCTCCTTTCCAGTGACATAAATTGTATATGCACAGATCCATGGGTCATGGGTCATGGAGGTCATGGGTTTTAGTCCTACCCCGACAAGCTTGTGCTTCTCTAAGACTCTAGGACATACATACATCGCTTATAAAATTATGTCTGTACCCCCTGGATGGCGACAAGGGGAGAATTTTTGCCACCTCATGCCTAACACTCACACAAAGATGCAATAGGTTTTTGTGTTCATACAAAATATAATTACTCATGTGTACAGTGTTCAAACAAATGTTCACACACAATGTGCCCCACACACTCTAGCACGTTTGTTTATATCCAGGATTTTCTTTTGTTCCTCTTCCCTTTTCCTTTGTCTGACTGTAACTTTTTCGCAACAGATCTCATTGGTTTTATACACGCTTTCCAACTGAGGAGTCCTCGATTTGGTTTCTGTCCTCGATTCACCGATGATGCTCCACGTGTGTGTCCTCGATTTACACCATAAACAAACGCAAGCTCTCATGAGTAACAAAGCAACGTAGATTCTAGCATGTCCAGCACACCAAAGGGTGAAACCAATTAACAAGACTAAGTTTGCCTAGTGGAGCTGGCCCTAAAAGTTTGACAGTTGGTCAGCATGTTAATCTCAGTTGGACAGCTTTGGCGGGTCTGCCAAACGACTTAGCGTACCTGTAGCAGTGGCCCCGGGGGCTGAGTCCTCGTTAGCGTTGCGACCAGTAGCTGAAGCACCCTCAGCAGTGGTGTCTCGTCCAGATGAGGTGTCTGATCTGCTGGCCCCGCTTTGTCCTCTCTTGCTCATCCCCGAGCTGCGCCTACTTCTGTACACCGACAAATAACATTAGGAAAACATTGACTTTTAATAACTGTTGACCATTGTGATGAGGGACGTGACATTATTTACATTCATGGCCTCTGAGGTTAAGCTGAGGATCATGTGTCTCAGAAGTCAAAGAGATACTTATGTAAGTACTGCGAGGAATGAATTATTTCAATGTAGTGTAAATTTTTGCTTTTTTGAGTTTTTTGCCGCATGTGAAATGCTATTTGGAGCATGCCCTGCGCAACATTGCGATGCAATTCATGATATGTAAAACAGTTTCTTTCAGTCAGCAAATATACAAAGGGAAACTGATTAGGTACATACATGTATATAATAATAAAGTTGAACTCATTGTACAGTGTTTCGGTAGTCGTGGGTTTCCTGTACAAGTCAATTTCTTTGTTCAACTTTATAATTGTTACCTTTTTAAAGATTTAACAATTTTAAAATCTTGAAATATATATATTTAAAAAATAAGCTGATGTCATGTTACATGTGATGACATCATCATGACATCACTTGTCCATGCAAGACGGATTTTACTATGCAAAAATACCAAATATGCCTAGCTTAGGCCCCAAAAAAACTGCTTCTGCCCCCAATAATGGTACCTACAAAAATGCATTCATATCATCAGTTCTGTGATTTTGTCTGACCTATTAGGTATTTTAAGAACCTTTTTAGGTTAAAACCCCTAAAACATATCTGTTGTCCGGCATGTAAATGGCACGTCATCAGAAGTAGAAGTATTTTTTGCCTTATTAAGTAAAATGACCCCATTTTCATTTAAGTTACTAAATCATTGACTTTTTCAGCCAAGGAAACTGACATTCAAGCAGGTAAGATCCCCCCCCCCCCCCCCCCGCCCCCCAAAAATCATTTCTTAATCAAAAACTCAATTTTTAAGCTTAATTCAAAATAAAATCACTTATTCCAAACAAAATCGTGTAACAGGCAATGACCCTCAAAGTGGGGACTCTCCCACAAAGCAGACGACAGGCAGCAAAGCAGACGCCCCCTATGTAGCAAGCAAGGCGAAGCCTTCTATTATCAAATGAGGAAGAGCTAAAGGACTAGCTTCAAGTACAAAACAAGTCTTTCATTTTAGTTATATTAAGAAGCTTTTCCTGTCAATTTGATGTCCGTTTACCTTGTGCTGGCGCAGGTTCCCGTGTTGGTATCTGTGGCACGCTGCCGGGAGCTGTCTGGTTTGGGAGATGAGGTCCTTGCCTTTGACTTGCCTATGGGGATTGGAACAAGTACAAGGCAAACATGCAATCAGAGCTCCCTCAAAGCTAACTTTATATATATGTAATTTCAGCCACTGACAGTAACTGAAGGACTTGAAGTCCACCTTTTGTAGATGTTGATAACAAGTATACATACGTGTACATTCCAAACAAGGTGCTGAAATCTCAGAACAAGTGTGCCTCTTTTCTTCTTTAAGAATAGCAATAGTAACACTAACAGCTTTTTTTGGAGAAACAAAAACTACATGTATACCAGTATAAGCGTATACAACCGTGTTACAAATGCTTATAAAATTCTCAGACTTGTTGAGGGTTATCATCAAATCCACCTTGCACACAACCATATGGGTGTTCCGACTTACCCCACTTATGGGGTTAATTAAAAACACAGTGTGGGGTTCAGTTGAAACATGGCATGTGGTTATTAGGAAACTACATTTATTATTTGTTTTCAAGTCAAACTTTTGAAGCACTCTATAATTAAATAAAACAAACAAACAAATATGCAGATAGTGTTCAGGTATAATTTGGGGCAAAGAAATGTGCAACTGTGGACAAGAATATGAGGCATCAAATATTTTAAATGCATACACGCTTTCACATTTTTTTTGCATTCTGACCTAAAATGTCTAACAGTTTAAGTCAAGGTCTATATCTGGTCCAAACTTCAACATACATGTATGCGATGTAATATATGTAACTAGCCCCCATTGTTATGTTCCAACTAGCCCCAGAGACCCATGTGACACCTTTAAGGTGATTACACAAAACAGGGACTACAACCACACATCTATACATGGTATAGTGAAAAATTTACTTAAAATGTCCCCCCCCCCAAAAAAAAAATGCTCTTGCTATTCACCAGGTGGATTTATTTCACAAAATTAAATAAAGCTATGTCAGAAAATCTCAATGTTACAACATACCCCGCGTTCCAACTAATCTATGTCTCCCCTATTCATAAATATTCTAAATGCATCTGTGTGTATACTTCACACGAACAATGATGGGCAGTTTATTAATTGCAGAAAAATACATACACCAATTACACCCCTCCCCCCAACAAAAAAAATTAAATAAATAAATAAATTACGGGGGGAATTTTGGAAGATTCTGAAAGATTCAAGATGAATTCTCTTAAAAGGGCAGACAGTAAGACATGGCATGTACCGTTATGATTAGTTTAGTTATTTAATTCTTGATTGTTATTAAATTTATCCAGTTGTATTATTCAGTTCAACTGATCGAAACCTAATGAATAAAACTGAAGGATTACCTTCACAAGGCACAGTAGTATGCCACCAAAAAAAAGGTTTCAAACCCAAAACCTAACATAATCAATGCGCACAAATCTTTTAAATGACGTGGGTTAACACACAGAGACCAATGTTTCATTTAACTGAACAGAAACTAAAAATAGGAATGATTAATTGAAAAAAATAATCATATCATGCTTACCTTTACTTGAGGTGGCCCTGCCTTTAAGTGGGCCTTTCAGGTTCACCGGAAGGGCTGTACCTTTCTCTTCAACCCCAGATGTTGGGGTGGAGGATGCCCGGCTGCGGCTTGCCTTCTGGCGGGTGCTGACCCCAGAGGTGGAAGGCTGCGTGTGATGGGTGCCGCTGCCTACCGACTCTGCAGAGGTGTTCTCTGCAGATCTATTACTGAGAAAAAAAATGTATCATAAATTAGTGACAAGTAAAGTGCAATTGAGCAAAACTTTGTAGTTGACGTACATAAAAATAATTTTTAAATCAAATCATGACCATTTTGCAATTCCAGGTCTTTAAACTTGATTTATCACCTTTCAAAAGCCCATCTTCTACAATAGTGCCATTTGAGGGGGATTTCAAACAGGGGTGGATACGCTTTCACCCAAATTCTTTGCAGATCCTTCAAAATCTGCCAGGGCGTATTTAATAATGCAATGACAAGCAACTACATGTATTACATGGGATTTGATGCCCCTTAACCCTAACCACCCCAACTCCATCAAAATCCATCCCACCCATGTTGGTGGTAGTTTTTGGGGGACTTGGTCCAGAAGGCCTTGCGTGACTAAATATTGATGGGGTATGATGGACTTGGGCCTGATGGCTTGAAGCAGTGCTAGGGGTATCCGATTGATTTTGCCTAGCTTCTTGTACTGCTATTGTGATAAAAGCCATGTGTAGCAAGTCCATGAATGTCAACCAGTGCGTCAATGGTGGATTCCATTATGTCATGTACAGTTTTGTATTGGACGTACAGTTTTGTATTGGACGCACAGTGATTGATGGATTTTGATGGACTTGGTCCAGTTCCTAGGGTTAATTGACTCTATGTCTTTCTTTTACTGCATAATCGAGTAATTAGGAGAATTAAGTAAGGTAACTAGCAAAAGGCTAGAGGATAATTCTTTTAAGTTCTGCATATCTCTGTAACCACAGTCCTATTAAACATCTAAAGGGCCCCTAGGGAGAACAGTGCTGTCACAACTGATGGGGCTACCCTGGTAAAATAAAACGGTAAGTAAAATAAAATTAAACAAAGTTATAAATAGTTCATGTAATGACTAGACTATTGACGTTAACCCTAATGATCCCTATCCAGCCAAACTCCAACACAAGGGTTTGGTGAGGTCCAACTGTTTATGTGTACAGTTTAATACCATATGGTGTTGCAAATTGCAAGGGTGAGCAAGGTTCCTAAATCACTCTAGGGGGGGGGGGGGGGGGTAGGGCTAACCCCCTTGAGTTATTTACTAGGAACCTTTCTCACTCTTTTTAAATCCAACACCATATGGTAACTCAACACCAAAACTGTTGGACTCCGATGGTGGTATGCCTGACCCTATGTAAAGCATTTAAAATCAATTTTTGCAGTACTCAACAAAACATGCAATTGGATTTTGAAGGGTTGGGGTGGTTAGGGTTGATGAAGTATACTCTATTGATGTTTGATGGCTCTATGCACAACTAGCCCCTCTTGAGGTGGGAATGCAATGTAACTGTTCATTGAGATCACTTCAGTATCGTTTCTACTGTGAACATTTAACGGTACATTCATCACATGTATAATACGTTAGAGTTTTGTGCTGGTTACGCAGACAAGATGAGTAGTTATTCTGCATATAGAGTCTCTTGCAATGGAGGTATACATGAACGGTAATTCAAGTAAAATAAATATTACCTGAGTCCACTAAACAATGAAGAAGCACGTGATCTTGCTGTCCCAGAAGAAGCTGCAGCAGTTGAGGAGGTTCCAATGGGTGTCTTGGACTCAGACTTAGATGCTGATGTTGTTGGGGGTGAGGAAACAGTTGTCGAGGTGCTGGCGCCCCAGGGTGGGGCAGCCCTGCGTTGGGTACTCGTCCTGCCTGGCGTGCGGCGCGGCGCGTAGTAGTCCAAGGCCTCGTATTGATAAGGATGGTCCCTTGAGTACGAGCGCAGAGACCGGAAGGTAATTAGAGGGATCTCTTCACTCAGTCCTGGAAGGCTGGCCTCCCTAGTTTCTGATTCCTGCTGATCGTGGGCGGCACGCAGCCGTAGCTTGCTGTGTTTCTCCCCAATGGTGGCTTCGCTGCTGGCGGACGAGCCAGCTGAGGAGGAGCTACTGGCTTTCCTCTTCTTGCCACTACTGTTATCTGGTATGCAGACCCGGGTATCTTTTAGAAGTGGGTGGTGAGGGTGGTCCTCCTTGGCAGGCTTAGTCTCGGTGGTTCGGCTCCTGCTCCTAGACCGTTCTCGATTGCTATTCAACAACGGCTGCCCCGAGACAACCGACGTAGATGAAGAAGAATGGCTGGTACTTTCAAAGGTCAGATGTCTATCAAATGCGTTCAGTTCCACCGGCAAAGTTTTCTCGTTTGAAGCCGGGTATTTTGTGATGAAACTCGGTGATGACAGCGCTGAACCGAAATGCGCAAACTGGATGGTTGCGTTTAGCTTGACCTCTTGGATTTCACGGGCTGGCTGCTTGGCAGGGATGCTCAGGTTTAAGGGTTCAGATTTGCGTTTTGATGCCTCGCCAGTAACCTTGTAATTGCTGCAAATTAAGAGAATATGTAACAATGTACACAAACTTTAACTGATGGTTCTTCTCAAAACTGACACTAGAGACCACTCCAATGTGCATTCCACCACACTCTGTCCTTTACTGTTATGTTGGCTTGTAATTGAGGATTTTTATTTCTGAACAAACATGCAAAACTTCATGGGTTTGAGAATCATCTGAGCACAGCTAGAAGTGTAAAAAAAAAAAAACCCAATAAATTCGTAGCACTTGGTAATATCATTAAAAGATTGAGTTTTGAACTGTAATGTACTTTTAAGGACATCAAATCCCCATGTAAAGTACAAGTCCCTGAGTTCTGCTGACCTTATCTTTGCTGTTTGCTTGTTGACAGGAGCAGGATGAGTGCTCGTCAAAGCTTCGTAGTGATTGATGGATGTAGAGGCAACAGTGGAGGTGGTGGCAGTGGCACCTCGTCTTGTCGTGCGACGCTGTTGATGCTGATAAGAAGACCCCCCTGATTGGTGGAGACTAGGGATGTGGTCGGCCATAATAGGCGGTGGTCCAAGACGGAGACATACCCAGCCCAACAGGTTATGCTCTGGCTACTGTCAAAAGACAAAGAGGGATAATCATAATAATAATAACGGGTTCTTAAATAGAACTTTAACCAAGATCAAAGTGCTTTACATCATTATTACCCCTGATCATTGGGCCAATGAAACATACCAAATACCATCTCAGCTCCCTGGGGAGTATACAGCTCCATGCTGCCATTTCAGCCCTAACTCCCTAGGGTGAATACTAGGAACCTCCCTCATCCTTGCAAATCCCAACACCGTATTAACCTTGTGCACATAAACAGTTGGACTCTGTTTATGTGTATTATGCCTTAGGCCCAAAAAAATAATACTTCTGCTTCCGGTTACCCGACCGACCCTATTTTTAGGCTGCGACCCTAAAAATTTTATCAGCAATTCCACACAAAAAAAGTAATAATGATTGAATATTAAAATTAAAATAAAAGCTTGTTGTCTTTTCTGTCTTCACAAAATACCTCTCAATTTGTTTTCTTACTTACATTCGCTATTTTTTCAAAAGAAACCAAATTCGCTTCGCGATCTGTCATCATACCTCGCAATTCGATGTCACGGTGACTATTATCACGTGCGTAAACCTTGCTCAATGCAGTGACGACTGGTTCCCGCCGCGCCGCGCAGGGGCCAATTTAGAAGACATGATGAAAGTGCGGTAACCAGTCTGTCATGGCTATGCGATCGCTAGCGCTAGCATGGCTATGCATTGCAGGCACGTGCACTGTCAACTGGTCGGATTCGACATCGTAAAATGCAAAGAAAACACCGATGGAGACAGAACATTTTTTGCAAGTTAATTCACAGAATTGATTCCGACCAACCGACCCTATTTTTGAAAGGCATGTAATCGGAAGCAGAACTATTTTTTTTTTTGGCCTTACCATTGGGCAACAAAATCAATAGCGTAAAATAGGTCCTGCAAATATTTCATCTTACAATTTCTCAAAACTGACAGTTTCCATTACTAACTTGTACATATTTCTTTTCTGTTTCCAAGCAATGAAACTTGAAGTAACATTTGGGCAGCGTGATTTTGCCAAATTTTGACATGATTTATTTACATACAAAAAAAAATACAAGTTGCAAAGTCCTTTTTTCTGTTCATAAACATAAACTGGCGTAATTATTGTTGAAAAACATACTTGGTTGAAAGATAGTAAGGGGACTAAACTCCCTGTGAAATGATTCTTTCTGGCAAGCTGTCATTTTGAAGTACTCAACGAAAGAAGGCATTTCCAACGGTGCTTTTTAAGACGCACCGTGGGAAATTTAAATTAGTAGTTCGTTTTGTTATTCGGTGAAGCGCGCAAGCATTGGCACGACGCACACGCGGTTGCTATAATTCGTCGGATCAGTGTGCGACATCGCGTAGCTGCAATCGGCTCAGTGAGAACATGTCTCGGACGCTGAATTCTGGCCTAATTCAAAACATGATTCAGCAACTTTTGATTTGAAATTGAGATCCTAGAATGCTGTTTTTCTTGGAATATACAGCTGAAGCTGAGCTGAAACTTCATCAGGTTAGTTGTTCAGTACCCTTCTTTAGATTTTGAGCACTTTTGTTGCTTCAAACGAACAAAATGCACAAATTACAAATGATGGACTATGTCTTTGAATCAACAGAAGGTCTCTAGAAGTTAAGTGACTAAACAATGCAAATAAATAAGAGGAACCCACAAATTAAATTTCTGTTTGTTTGGCAATTTGATTTTACAAAAATTACAAAAACAAGTCAGGTGTGTTTACAAACACAAATGCCCCGCAACCGTGACTGTTTCCATGACATAACACCACTCTAACATCAACATGTACCTTGGTCAAATGGAACGTTCATTGACAGCATTAGTGTCTTCTGTAGGTTTTATATGAATTAATCCCTAATCCCTATGATCTCAGAATAAATACAAGATTTCTATTGTTTTAGCCACTGTGACCTTGACCCTTGACCTTTCGACCCCCAATGCGATAGGCTCCTTAGGATTGCCAAGGAATATCCACAAACCAAATTTGAAGTTCATATGTAAAGTATATCTCAAGTTATCACGCTGACAAAATTTCTTTTGTTTTTGCCACTGTGATCTTGACCCTTGACCTTTTGGCCCCAAATGCAAAAGGCTTCTTAGGATTGCCAAGGACAATCCACAAACCAAATTTGAAGTTCATATGTAAAGTATATCTCAAGTTATCGCGCTGACAAAATTTCTATTGTTTCAGCCACTGTGACCTTGACCCTTGACCTTTTGGCCCCAAAATGCAAAAGGCGTCTTAGAATTGCCAAGGACAATCCACAAACCAAATTTGAAGTTCATATGTAAAGTATTTCTCAAGTTATCGTGCTGACAAAATTTCTATTGTTTCAGCCACTGTGACCTTGACCCTTGACCTTTCGGCCCCAAATGCAAAAGGCTTCTTAGGATTACCAAGGACAATCCACAAACCAAATTTAAAGTTCATATGTTAAGTATTTCTCAAGTTATCGTGCTGACAAAATTTCTATTGTTTCAGCCACTGTGACCTTGACCCTTGACCTTTCGGCCCAAATGCAAAAGGCTTCTTAGGATTACCAAGGACAATCCACAAACCAAATTTGAAGTTCATATGTTAAGTATTTCTCAAGTTATCGCGCTGACAAGATTTGTCCGGACACACACACCCACACACACACACACATGTTTCACATACCTAGTGTGGACTTTCCTTTCTTTTCGTGTAGTTAAGGAACACCAGTGGAAAAATTCATTTTTCTCAAACTGTGAAAACTCTTACAACCCAATTTTTTTTCAATGATTCCCTTTAGTGTTTCTCTTCATTCTGCTACAGATAAACCTAACCCAAAAATGCCTCTAAACCTGTTTTCCAGAAATGGGGAAACACTGTGTGGACGTGGGCAAGTCCACACTTCGTCGCTGCTACCTACATTATGTGGACGTCTTTTGTTCGGAAGTCCACACTGCGTATGTAAGACAAGCTCACCCACCCACACACACACACACCCACCCACCCACCCACCTACCCACCCACCCACCCACGGAAGGACAAGGCGGAAACAGTATGCCCCTTCGGCTTCGCCGCGGGGCATAAAAATGACATGGCAGAATTTAAATTTTAAATCTCTAGAGGGATTTATTTTGGTGGGGCTGTATCATAAGTCCGACGCCTCATATGTCTGATGCCTCATAAGTCCAAAATTTTGGACTTATGAGGCGTCGGACTTATTAGGCATAAATTCCGCCTCATAGGTTCGACGCCTCGTAAGTCCGACAATGGACAAACGCTGTTTCAGACTTACGAGGCATTGGACTTAAATAAATGTTATGCCTCATAAGTCCGACGCCTCATAAGTCCGATGCCTCATAAGTCTGACGCCTCTTAAATCCGAAATTTCGGACAAGCGTCGGACCTATGAGGCGTCGGACTTATGAGCTGACCCCATTTCGGTAACAAGTATTACAGTTTCTCAATCCATCTTTGATACAAGTTAAAACATACATATGGGCGATTCCATTCCTCGCATTACACTTTTTTGCACCCTTTCACGTTGCAATTGCTGTGGTTTTAGCAGTAGTTGGACTAGCTATCTCTTATGCTGCATAAATATACCCTACATGTACATGTATGTGCAAGACTTTACCCTGATGGTAAAAAAAAATATGTTTGTACCATGATAAGATCATGGCACTCTTAGAAAAAAACGGTTACTCGCATTACACGAAAAGGACATGCCAAAAATTGGCTTTGTTTTGATTCCCCTGTCTGCTTAAACTGAAAGAGCAATAACCAAATTAATATATTAACAGGACACCTACCGGTACCATAGTACTTTACTTAAATGGCTAATTAATGAAAGAACCAGAGGTATAAACGCTAGAGTTTATACCTCTGGTTCTTTCAGAACCATTCTCTTTAGTTGAGAAATTATTCACACATGGTGTTTCCGCAAACCTTTCATTATTTAGTATCTCCACCATGCAAAGCCTCAAATCTTACTTAAAATGGCTAATAAAAAATTAAGACCCAAATCAGGTATAAATTATACAGCAAGAAAGGTTGGTTACTCGCATTACGGTTACTCGCTGCATGGAGTTGCACAACCCTAAACTTATGGACTGAAACCAAAATAAAGCCAACAAACAAATAAAGGAATAAAAGATAACCAAAGAAGAATTTTGGTTACTTGCATTACGGTTACTTGCATTACAATTTGGTCCATTTGGTTGGAAACAAATCAAATCTTGATCAGGACAGGTCTAATTCGATTTAAATCATTTTATCAAACAAAGCAAATGACAAGGCTACACAATTAAATAAATTAATCATAACTTTAAATTGTATCAACATAATTAAAAGATTACAAGTCAATTTTATTTGCCTTTTAGGCACACTTTTACTCGCATAACAATTTAGTCCATTTGGTTGGAAACAAATCAAATCTTGATCAGGACAGGTCTAATTCAATCTAAATCATTTTATCAAACAAAGCAAATGACAAGGCTACACAATTAAATCAATCAATCATAACTTTAAATTGTATCAACATAATTAAAAGATTACAATTCAATTTTATTTGTCTTTTAGACAAGTTTGATGGTGCCCAGCACAGGCCTATTGAACATGCTGAAAGATACGTGTACATGTATGACAATATAATGGCTCTAAAAATGTTAGTTTTGCATATTGACTGATACTCTTCCCTCATCAACTGTTTGTACATCCACATTAGATTGACTGCACACAATGTGATTATATGCAAATTATGAGCAACTTTGCTGTAGGCCCTAAGGATTAGTCTGCATCAATTAAGATTTTGTACGGGCCTTACATTATTTCTTCTTTTCAAAAAACAGTCAATCAGTAATCAGAAGTCATAACTTTTATTCTTTATCATCATGGAAAGTTATATGGTTACTCGCATTACGTTGGTTACTTACATTACCGGTTACTCGCATTTCAATTTTTGACACTTACTGGTGACATCATGCTTGGTATCATTTTCATTTCTTTTATCAATT